ATGGAAAGTCCCAATCTGCTCCTTCCCTATAACGACTTACAAACCAGGTCCTGGCTAAAGAGGGCACAGGAAGGGCTCTAACCTGGAACTGAGACTGCCTGGGCAGTCTGCAAAGCTTCATAGTGAGGGGGTTATGTGCACATATGGTTGTCCCCTGAACCTGGGCCCTGTGTCGGGGTGAACTGCTTGGTGGCCTGAAGCATTGACATCAGCTGTTGCTCTTTGAGCCTGACTCCCAAGCCTTGTTCCTTTCCCTGCTGTGCGGCTCTAGGAAGGCCTCTGGCCCCGTCTCCTAGCTGGGGTTGTTCCCAGGACAGTCCTCCCTTTGGGTGCCCATTAGCTGAGAAACAGCACAATTAGCCAGGCAGTTAACTCGAGGTTCTGCAGTTGCTCCCTCCCACAGGGCCCTGCTTAACTGGGCTGAAGTTGGCAGTGCCGGGGGCTACAGGGAAGGTAGTGGGTGGTGCATCATTTGGACCAGGCCTCAAGACAGGGAAAGTGTCTGAGAAGGGTGCTGGCCAGGGAGGGCACAGAGGTCCACAGATTTCAACTCAGATGTCCTGACACCCAGTCCCGGAATGCCTGCCTGAGACTCAAGGGCTCTGACAAGCTACCTGGGAGGCAGGATTCTTTCTTGCAGGAGGCAACTCCAAAAAGGAATGGTGCACAGAGCTGGCTGAGACTGATAAGAAGGGAGGCCCCACTCCGACTCCTCAGAAAAGTCATTTCCTTTGGGGAGCCAGGTTCTCCCATTTGTGAAATAGAGGTCGTGCTTGCTATCCCTCCTGGGGATGTGGTGAGAATGAGCAAAGTCAGAGATGGGAAATGGAATACGGTGGGACTCTAAGCACTGTGCAGCCAGCTGCTCTGCAGGACACAGCCCCAGAAACCAAGCCACCAAAATCTAGGCTCTCGCTAGCAGGGCTGGCGAGGAAGCAGAGCAGGCCCAGGCCTAGAAAGGCAGCCGATGAGACTGAGCAAAAGACTGGAGTCAAGAGATGGATGGGGGCAGGGGCTTGCTGTCAGTGCGTGATCCTGAGCCCAGGCTTGCACAACCTGCTGGTAGTTCACGGAACATTTTTTCCACAACTCAAATATTTTCCCAAGAACACACCTCTGGAACCATAATCAAAACAAATGGAAAAGGATATCTTTGGCAACTGGCCTTTCAGGAGCTTAGCTGTTTTGCCACACAAGTTACAGCTACCTCGATGATGGGCACTGTTTTTGCACGAGAACCAAGTCAGAAATAGAAGTGGTTTTGAGTAACTTTTTTTTCCCCCTGCTAATTTTTATTGATTCCTGTAGGAAATGTCTGTTCTTACAGCTTGGACTAAGATCTGAAAACAAGCCTGTCGATGAGGAAAACCTCTGTGTTGTGGCCCCGGGTACTGAACCACCTGCCCGAGGAGCACCTGGAGCCTCGAGCCTTGTGTTGCAGGCCTGCCCTTGCCGGGCTCTGGCTCCTGCTCTCTGGGCCTTATATGGGGAGATAGAGCTGACCATGGGGCTGCTCCTCTCTCCCCCCAACCCGTGCTTAGTCCAGTAGGTGAGGACAGCTGTGAGACCCTCGTAGCACCCACTGCCCTGTTTTCAGGGGGACTCGGGCTGGAGCCCAGAGCTGAAGCATGCAGTGGTGGAGGACAGCAAAGACACTCTGGGGCACCGGTGCCTGGGTGCCCTGCCCAGTGGAAGTGAACATGGCCTGGGACAGGGTGGATTTGAGACTTGCCTGATCCCAGGGCATTATAGCTGCAGAGCTCTGCAACCTCTCTCCATTTGCCTTATGTTTCAGATTGATGGGCTGGAGGAAAAGTTGTCCCAGTGTCGGAGAGACCTGGAGGCTGTGGACTGCAGGCTCCACAGGGCAGAGCTGAGCCCAGAGGACAGGTAACGTTCCTGACCAGCCACCCCCTCCCCTCCCTGCCCTTGTGTCTGTCCTGAGTCCCCAAAGTGAACTAAGCTTAAGGCAGAGGGTTTGGGTCCTTAGCTTCTGAGGTCAACTCCTGAGACCTGGGCACTGGTCCCCTTTGTTCACACTGTCCTGTTTGCTGGCTGCCCCCAGGTGGCTAGAGGAAAAGGGCTTGAGCCATGAAATTCCTTCCCCACAGGAGGTCTCTGGAGAAGGAGAAAAACAGCCTAATGAGCAGAGCCTCCAACTACGGTAAGAGAGTTCCCTTCAGATGCCCACCTTGACCTCCAGGACCCAGAGTTTGGAGGGGCCAGGCAGCAGCCCAGGGAACCTAACTAGGTGGCTGGGCACAAGGTGGTCCTTTGAGAGGGCGCCAGCCCCAGGAGGCTGAAGGAACCTGCCTTGTGGGAGGAGAGCTAGTCTATTCTTTGTTACAAGGGAAGAAGGATGACCTAGGGCTCTGTCTTCCCTCTGGGATAAAGGGGTGTGGCTGTAGCCAGGTCCCCTCCCTCCCCTCCCCTACTGCCACCACAACTCCCCTCCTGGCCAGGAACATCCTGCATTTGGAGTAGGGCTGACAGATACCCCCCCACCCCCCCCACCCCCACACAAACTTGAGTGCAGGAAGGGCTCCTGTGGGTAGAGCAATACTGCCACCTTCTGGGCACTGGGGGCAGGGCCAGGTAGAGTACAGGCGGGGCAAGCAGCTGGAGTGTGGCTGGCTGATAGCCTCAGCTTCCTGAGAGTTGGAGGAAAAAGATCTGTAGCAGGTTCTTCAGTTTGTCCCCTCTTGGTTCTCCCCTGGGGGACCAGGCCTGGCCAGGGAACAATACAGAAAGAACAATCTGACCCGACACAGTTGGGCTGGGGTACCCTGGGCTCAGTCTAGCCCACCCAGAGCCCCCTGTGAGTCCCTCCCTCCCTTGCACATGATGGGTGGGGCCTCAGTTCCCCTCCAGCTTAGCAGTTTTCACAGCAGTTTTCACCTCAGCATCGCCACTTAGTTTAGCCTTCATGGTGTACCAACCACCTGCATGTCACTTGGAGGGACCCATATGGGTGTAACCATGGGTGTGGCTACAGAACAGCAGGACTGGCTTCCTCTAGAATGGAGGATGGCTGCCTCCTGTCAGCAACCCTAGATTCTGCTGAGCTGGGCCCCCAGCAAAAGGCAGGATCTCAAGAAACAAATGTGGCCCTGCCTGGCCACTCCAGTATCTGGCTCAAGATACTGTCCAACTCCACTGAGTTTCTGGTTGGCTGGATGAGACTCCTGGAAGGACGAGCACTGTAGAGCCCACTGAGAGGTGAGGACTCACCTGATGTTACACTGTATCCTAGCTTGGCTCTCAGGTGTGGCTTCTTTGGTGACCCCTCACATCCCATCCTCAACCTGGTTGAGCAGCCTTGTTATTAGGACTTTTAGGCCAAAATCTGTACCTAAAATGTTATGAAGATCTGGGCAGATCAAGGACAGGTCATGTTTAAGCGTAAGAGACAGGAGGGACACAACTTCAGTGGTGTGTGTATCCATTTTGGAAAGGGAGAAAGAACACTTACGGCCTCCATTCCCTGTCCCATACCAACTACCCCTTTATCTCCCAGAGAAGGAACTAAAATTGCTTCGGCAAGAGAACCGGAAGAACATGCTGCTCTCGGTGGCCATCTTCATCCTCCTGGCCCTGGTCTATGCCCACTGGACCACGTGAGTCTGCAATGCCCCGCAGCCACTGCAGGCTTCCCCTCGGCTCCTTAATTGGGACCAAGCAGGCCCTTCAAGTCTCAAGAGGACTACAGTGTCGGGGTGCTTCCCCCACCTAGGCCTTGGAGTAAGGCCTCCTGACGTGTCCTCTCCCCACCCCCACCCCCGAGTCAAGGGAGAGGCAATAAAGAACATCAGGCTGCTCCTGTCTGCTGAGTAAATGTCACGGTCCGACTGTAGCTGAGGGGCAGCAGGAGAGTCACTCAGGAATCAAGGAAGGAGAGACATTCAAAAGTTCATGGTGTAGAATTCAGAAGGGAGAGGTAAAGGGGTAGTTGGGAAGGTGGGCAGACATTGTGCCACCTGCTGCCCACTATCAAACATTACCTGCCCTCCAGCCAGTGCCAGCACCTCCAATTATGGCAGAAAAATGCAGCCTGTGCAGTGAAGGGTGATTTGGACTTGGAAGTGGTGGGAGGTCCCGGAGGAATGTGGAGGAATGCGAAGTTAATCCATCCTCAGGAGGCAGGCAGGACTGGGAGGCCCAGAGAGCAAGTGTGCAGCAAGAGCCATGATAAAGACAAGATTCATGGTGACAGTGGCAGTAAGAGGTGGTGGGGGTCAACCATACCCCTAACTCCACTCCCACAGTGAGGCCAGGAAGAAAGAGGGTGGGTGCTGCAGCCAGCAGAGGGAGACAGGCTGGGAGCACTAAGGTGAACTCCCTATGTCACAGTGGGACCCCCAGATTAGGGTAAAGGAGCCCAGGAAAGTATAGGCATTAGGGGGATCCAGTATCCATGTGACAAAGGAGTGGGATGCCATCAGTTTCTGCATACCCTCTACCCTAAAGCAGGAGTGCAGCCCCCACTGGGGTGGGGGGGAGCCTGGCCACCTGGGGGGGGAGCCTGGCCACCTGGGGAGGGAGGCTGGCCAGGGTCAGTGAGTCCATTTCTCTCTCCCTCTCAATCCTTGGTCTAGTGACACTAATTGGTCTGACGCCTCTATTATTTTAGTCACAGACTGATCCTGGATTGTCACAGTGCCACCACAGAGTGAGCTATGTGATTTCTGTAAGAGGGGGAAGGTGCCTTGCTGCCCTCCTTGGGCTGTGGGTTCATTCAGTCCTCTATCCCTACTTCTATCAGCAGCTGCGTGATTTCCCTGGGTTCCTGGGCTCCCTTCTCTAGCAGCAGTCCTGCGCGCCCTGCGGGGCCCAGGAGCTTAGACAGGCTCAGAATAAACAAACCTTCTTTTCTCCTCTCTTCTTTGAGTAGAGCTTCCTCTCCCTTCACCTCTTGCCCAGGCTGCCTCATCCAAGCCAGTCCCAGAGCACAAAGCACTGAGGACAAATAGCAACAGCCCCAGCACAGAGCCACACAGGCATTAAAAATATGTTTATCTTTAATGATCCAAGATTCTGCAAGACACACTGATATACCCAGAATTGGGTGGAAATACAGCATCTCAGTGGTGCTGCCGCCAGCCTGGGGGGTGGGAGGCTGGATGCTGGCTGAAGGACCCCCATGGTGGAGTCAATTCCAACCTGCCGGGAGCCTCAGTGCCCTATCTCCATGGAAACCAGCCTGGCACTGGGATGGGGCCCTAGGGAGCCTGCATGAACATCTCTGAGAGGTATTTCCCATTAAAAAACAACCACAGATGCCCTCCCCCACCCAAAGCTGCTGCCCAGCTTCCCCTCCTCCCTCTGCCAAGATAGAGGAAATGGAGTGACCACAGAGAGACAGACAAAAGCAGACTGTACCTCCAGATGGAAAGGAAAAACAAAGGAAAGGGTGGCTACCTCCAGCTCAGAACTCTGCCAACACCCTAGGGTGGCTAGGGCACAGGCAGTATGCGACTGCCAGAGGGCTGGTGCTGTACTGACCCTAGAGGTACCTGTTACTGGTGGGGCCACTGCTACTGGGGGAGAGGCAAAGGCAGGTTTTCAAGGCTACTTCCAGCCCTCTGAGCTGCCCAACATTTGGATCAAAACGAGTGGCCCAGGAAGCCTCTCTAACCCCAGGAGGCAGTCACACCAGTCCCAAAGACAGCACAGCCTGCATCTCAATATGGTGTCAGTGACGTCGGACCCACTCTCTTCCTTCCCGGCCTGCCGGGACTATCAGAGGTCTAGGCTGGGAAGAATGCCAGGATGGGTGTGGGGAAGAGATGAAAAAGTCTTCCAACTTGGCATCAAAACAGAGCAAGTTCAAAGAAACAAAACTTTGATTTGTACAACAGCTGCTCCTGGCCAGCTCGTGACAGTGGGCGTCACCCACCCAGGATTGGCCCAATAAAAGTTGGGCAAAGCAGGGGCCTGGCCACCCTCAGAGGCAGTGCATGGAACTCAGAAAAATGAGTCTACAGGACTCTGGAGAGAACGGCAGAACCCAAAGCCTGCTACTCTCTAACACGTCCTCCACCAGCCCCACGTGCCCTGGGCACTGACCACAAACCTGCCTCAGGAGCAGCTTCCTTCAGGCTGAGTCCTGGTAGGGGAAACAATTCCCAGGCAGATGGTGTCCCAGAAGGAACATGTGTCCTCTGAAGGCCCTGACTGAGCTCCTCAGAGAGAGGCGGCTATTTGCTCCCAAGGCCAGGCTTAGCTCCCCCCAGTCCCCTTTCAAGAGGCAGAAGGAACCAGTGCTGGGAGCCCCAAGTGCAGAGTGCCCCGTTGTGGGGAATGACAGGGCATTCAGCAGGGGTGGAACACCCCAAGGCCCTCAGGCGCTGTGCATCTGGATGAAGGAAAGGACGTCCTCCTTGGATAGCTTGTCTGGGTCCTGGGGCTTCTGGGAGTCATGCACACGGATGCCATCCCCCCACTCCCAGAAGAGTCGGCCATAGTAGCAGATGCTGCAAGGAGGAGAGGGGAGAGGTTAGAGGGCTATACCTGGGTGGCCCAGGACCAAGAGCCCACCAGCCCACCCCTGGCAACAGTGACATTGACCCTCTCAGTTGAGGGTCTTCTCTCTGGTAACCTAAAGGTACCCAGTAGGCACCAGCTCCTTCTGTGCTGCCCAGAACCAACTCTTCCAACAGACAGCTGCTGCTTACCGCATCCAACTGAACTGTAACTACTGATATTCCTGGATTGTCTGTCTGTGCTTCTCTAATGGAACAGTGTTAGTGAGGAGACAGAAACAAGTGTTAGTGGCTAGTTTTAGGCAACAGGGCTGCTGTCAAAACCTATGACCAGCAATCTGGCAGATGGATGCTGGGTCCTAATAAGGGACAGCTAGGACCTTGGACCTCACCATCATGGCAGGTCCAGGTACTGCTGCTCACTGAGCTCACCGCCCGGCTCGGCCACACTTGGGTGTTCCCAGGGAAAGAACCTGGCCCAGGCTCACAGGAGCCCTTGTGTGGCAGTGATCAGTCTCAGGCCTCAGGGTGTGCCCTGGGAGGGCTTGCACCTGGCAGGAGGACTTGGAGCTGCTAGGGAAGGCAGCTCAAAAGGGGGTTACTCACTGAAATGGGGCGATGGCATCTGCAGGAAGATCATAGGTGGAGTTCCTGGTTTTCTTGTTGTAGAAGAATTTCCTCTTGAAGTTTTTGCTGCATGCCATAGTCCACGGCTCTACAGGAAAAAGAGGGGAAGGAGCTCAGAAAGGACACAGTACCCACAGGGGTGGGTCTGGCATTGCAGGGGTGGGTCTGGCATTGCAGGGGTGTGTCTTCCTTCCCTCTTGTTTGTCCTTCCCACCTCCCTTCCTCCAAGAACAGGCAGGGAACAACTTAAGTATGCCACCTCCACCAGCAGCCTAGAAGGCTCCAGGAGGATTACTGATTATTTCTCAACACACACACAAGTGTCCTATCAACCCACCATCGCCCTACAGTGCACAAGTGCACAGAGCCCAAACTTGCCATGTGTGCATTACAAGCTAGCCCTCTTCCCACGCCCAACCCACCCCCCCAGGCCCACTGAAGAACAGAAAAGGCTGTGGACACACAGCCCTCTAACATACACTTCAGGGAAGCGCCAGCCTGGCTGCCCCCACCCCACTGTCAGCTAGCTCCGGCTCAGGTAGAGTGTGGAAAGGAGGTGGCGTGGAGGCAGGGAGCCATCACCCACCATTCACAGTCCTGACGATGTACAGGCCTGTGGGCACAAAGTGCCTGTCGTCTCGCCCTGTGTAGCTGAGCTTTGGAGTGCCACTGGATCCCTTGATGATCTTCATTTCTAACCTGATTCCAAATAAGTGTACAAACAGATGTGAGTGTGTGAGACAGAAAGCCATACCGTTAGTCTCTGGCTAACATCAGTCATTCATTGCATTCTATGCTGCTTCCACCTAAAAAGAAACTGAGGCACGGCGCCTTAAAAGAACTGCTCCAAGCACACAGTGATATTGGTAGTGCTAGGTTTAGATCTCAAGCAACAGAAACACGGGAGTGACAAATGACCCTGCCAGGCCACCACTACTGAGGGGTGGTTACCTCCATGGTGATAGCAATAAGACTGAGATCTGAGACTGTGGGTGCCAGAGTCTTCAGCCCTCCACCCATGTCATCACTGTGGCCACTAGAGAGTTAACAGTAACCACCTCCCAGAGAGCACTGAGAGCCAGCCTCACTCCCATACTGAGAATCAGATCTGCAAGCGCCATGCACCCCACACACCGTGAAGAATATGAGGAAGCGTTTATGCCCCCTTGGTCCCCTCCAGGCTCAGTCTCTCTCAGCACTAGGAGCTGGGATTTATAGTGTTCCCAGCAGCTTGCTGCTCTGCCCCTTGCAGGAACAATCGTAACTATTACAGCATCAATGAGCCCATATTTCTGCCTGACACATGTCTGCCCTGCTCCCCTCCTGACAGGGTGCTGAGTCAGCTGGGGGGGGGGGGGGTTATAGGCTGCAGCAGAGCCACACAGAGGCCCTGAGGAGGGGGTGGGAGCATCACTACCTCTGCACCCTACCCACAACCTGTCTCTACAAAAAAAAAAAAGGAATCCTCAACTTGACTTAAATCCCAAACTGCACTGGGTTGAGTCACTCACCTGAGGAAAATCTTCTCCATCTCCTCCAGCCTGTATACCTCCTTCACTCTGCAGGTAGAGGGGTAGGGAGAGGATGAGGCTTCCTGGGGACATACTCATCCAGAAAGCAGCAGGCTGTGCCTGCCCTAGCCTTCTGCCTTGGCCCTCCCTGCAACCACTCAGTTCACCATGAATGAGGATACCCCGCCCGGGGCACCCTAGGATTCAAAGCTGCCAAGCAACTCCTCAGGTCTGCCCCAGGCAACTGGGGGTGCAGCTATGGCACTGGAGGATGGGAGGGGCAAAGTTCTCTTCCAGCATTCCAGAGGCCAGGAATCACATGCCTTCGAACTGCTACTGTGTAAGGTACCCAGAGACCCAGCCACCAGACTTCAAGCAAACCCTTCGAAGCACAGATATCTACAAAAGGCATTCTTAAAACTGGACTTAAATAACTAAATTCACATTCATATGAATAAAACTGGTTTTGGTATAGATACCTCAGGCTCTAGTGACATGGAGCTCCGTGGAGCAGGGCTCAGCAGTGCCCTACAGGTAGTAACCTCAGACCTGGGGAAGTCTTTCTTTATCTTCTCCCTGATTATTCTTTTCCTCCTCTGCCCCTGACAGCTAACTCTGGCCTGCTTCCTCAAGCCATCCTCTTCATATTCAAAATTCCCATTGTCTTAGTATCCATTTCTTACCTGAAAGAATATTCATGATCCTCCAGCGTTAGCGCTTCCAGAAGCAAGTGTGTCTTAAGTGAGATACCTTAACCCCTAGAATGAATCTACCTGTGGAGGTTGGCTCACTGCCAGGCAGGACAAGGAACACTCTGGGCTGATAGCCACCTACCCAGCACTCCCCAACAAATCACTCATCAAGGTAAGTTTTATCTCTAGCACCAACTTGGCCTGGCCCTCTCCACTGAGCCCTCCTGTCCCTCAATGGATGGAGAAGCAGGCAGTGACCAGAAGAAGCAACCGAGAAGGATTAGACAGGACGGGGAGCACTTGCTTACCTGATGGGGTTCATGTCAGGCCGACTGGGCTTGGAAACTGCCTTCACAAATTTCTCAGCAAGCTGGATTCTACAATCCAAACAGTCACTCAGAGACAAGTCAGACCACCCCTGCCAACACCCCTGCCCCTGGGTGACGTCACAGCACCAATCTATACAAACTGCCAATAGGAAGCATCAGTGTACCCCAGAAGCCCACCCTGCCCTTTCCACTGCCGTCCTCACTCCTACCCTCCCCGCCTGGATTCTGACCTCTAATTTCACTACATCCTGGCCGGCTTTCCTCAAGTGAGCCTTCAGCTGTGTTCAGTCATCTCCACTAGAACTTCAAGTGTCATCTTTATTGTATGTCTACCCTGTCACCCCACACCAAGGACACAAGCCTAAACAGGACCACCCAAGCACTAGACGTGTTTTTCAGAGGGGACCCTCCCTCTTCTCATAAGGTCACCCCTCTTGCTCAACCTTAACACAAACATCATCCTAATCTGAGCAGCTGTGGCAAGAGTATACTAGTATTAATGACAACCAAGGCCCAAACTCTGAAGTGCCAAGACCAATTTCTTACCCTGCCCTTGGGACAGCCAGTGAGCGGGAGAGGGAAATTCTCAGGACATCCATAAGCAGAGGCCAGGGTGAGGGGCCAAGCCTCAGGAGGCTGCTGCCCAGAGAGCTTCCCAGGCCCACCCTCACCCTCCCTACCCTGGGGCCCAGGTCAGACCGCTGATTGAAGTGCTGTTCCCGAACATCACTGCCGTTCAGCACAAGGACATCAAGGATGTGGATGGCACTAATCTTCCGCTGGGCCTTCCCCTAGAAGGACAAGTACACTGCCCACTCTGCCCACTGTGACATGGTTGGGCCTTCCACCTATGCTGGGGGAGGGAGGACTTTAAACACAGTCCAGGGCCAGCTTCTCATCCTTTGCCCACTGTTCCCATTAATGGTTCTGAATGTCATCCCTATGGTGGTGCTACTCAAAGCTCCCAGGAAATGACAGGTCTCTTCTTTCCCAAGGGATTTCTGGTCAAGAGCTAAATTAGCTGTTAAAAACAAAACACCCAGAAGGCTCATCAGGGCCCTGGGCACACAATGATGATCCAGGTCTCTCTGACATGCGGGGACTATTCCTACCTGAACCTCTCATGGTCTAGGGCAACTGCTCCCAGAGAAGGAATAATTACCAAACCTTTCCCCAGACTTGGTCCCTGTCAATCACCATACAAGGTAACTGAATTAAACCAAGGCAAAGAGCCAGGCTCTGGTATTCTAGTCCCCAAGCCACTAGGGCAACACATGAGCAGAATCATATCTGACCTCTCCTTTGAGCTCATGCACAATTTCAACAGAAAGCAGAGTATCCCGGGGTAGCTCTGTCTTCAGGTCCAGCTTGACCCAGCGGTCTGACTGACGGCCATCCCACGTGTAGATCTGGGACTTCTATAGGTAGAGAGCAAGGGTAGGTGTGGAGATGAGGAATGAGAGATTTAGTTCTCAAAAGGGCTTTTACTTGCCAGCTACAAGCCGATGGGGTGGGAAAATGTCAGAAAATGTCTAGTAGAGATGAAGTTTATTATTATATTTGTTCTCCGGTGCCTCCACGGAAGACAGGTGGAGATAGGACTTAGTCCTGCTGGTTGGGAATGGGTGGCCTCAGGGCACCTTCAAATGACCTTAGTCCATGATTAGTGACTCTCAAGAAAATACAGCTGGATGCATGTTGATGCAGGGGTCCGGGGAGAGGAAAAGGAGAGAAAGTAAAAGGAGAAAAAGACAAAATGTGAGAGAACACAAAAGAATGAGTGGATCATTTGAAATATAATTCCACAAATTACATGGAAGACAGAACTGAAAGAAAAAGCACAGACTTCAGCCAGTTAAGTCAGGTGCAAAACTCACTAAGGCTTTCCTTCCCCTCATACCGCCTCAGAGGGCCCAGGGAAGGAAAGGGATATCTTTGCAAAATAGGAAATGGCATGGAATGGGGTGCTACTGCAAAGGACCAGCTACATGGGCTCAAACCTGCAGCCCATGCTGCCAGCATGGAAAACCCTGATCCCAAGAGAAACAGCACTGTGCCCTTTAGCAAGGCAGAGCCGAAGAAACAAATAAAAAACTGACAAAAATCAATGAACCACACTTGGTGAACTCAGAAGAAGAAAGGAAATAAAGTTTTAAGAAATACTTTTTCTAGGACCAAAGCCACACCTCCTTGGTGCCAAGAGAACATGCACCAAGTGTAGCTGGCAGCTGTCCACACTCCCACAGACAGAGGGCATTGCTGCCACCCCAAGCTGGTAGGAAGCCAGCTGCAGACTTACCCCCAGGCCGAGGAGGAACTTCTGCTGGCTGCCAGACACCATGCAGCGGTAGTCGAGCACAGGGCGGATTTTCTCCAGGGTTTTGGAGGTAAGCAGCGTGGGCTTGTAGCTGAAGATGTCGATCTCAGTGCCCTGTAGCCGTAGACCAAGAAAACAGTGCTGGGCTGGAGAAGGCACGGACAGTACTGGTGCCCATACGGGCTAGAGCAAGCTAGGAGAGGCAAGGGACAGGAAGCACTTGCTCTCAGAAAAATGCTCCCCTGCTCCTTCTTCTCTACCTAACCATGCACTAAATGGGATCTATTTCCATCTGCCTGGAGTGTTCCTTTAGGACCTATTAGAAGACGCTGGGAAAGGAAAGAACACCAAGTCCCCAAGTACAGATCGATTTACCAGAGCTATAAGGAAATGTCACCAGAATATAAAAGCCATCCCTTCAATAACACAAAGCAAGGATTCTCCACAGTTGGTTTGAGAGCAGTGAAGTCATCCCTCTACCCCATTCAGAAAAATGTACACATAATTCTTCTGGGGCCATCTTGAACTCACTCTCCCGTTTGTGACCCCCATAAAACCAGCACAATGGCCCACAATCTGGGCCAGATTTAAATGAAGTCTGCAGGAAAAGCCAGAGGTTGGGTGGTAGGAAAACCAGAGAGAAGAACACTGAGAATCAGCTCACCAGAACCAGGTTAGGCAAGCCGGAGTGAGGCCAGCCCTGTGGGCTTCTCTGGCAGCTACCTTGGCTTTCTGCCCAGCTCCCCTGCCTAAGGTCATCCCACCTAGGGGATGTCTCCTCTATAGGCAAAGGCCACAGGACCTTGGACTTGCCAGGACATGACAGGCAGCATCACCTTTTGGGCGGCAGGAATGCCGGGTACAAGCACATCTCAAGACTGGAAATTTGCTGTCCTGCTATGTTCCTGGGGAACTCCACACCCTACACCAAAGGCTCTGCACCATCAGGTTCAGTCCAGTCCCTCAGGCCCAGAAGTGGTGCTTGCATAGGCCTTCTGGAGGCCAGGGAGGAGGCCTTGGTGACACCTTCCACACCTAGAGTAAGGCCTCCAGCTTTTTATTTCTATCACAGAAACCAGATTTACCTGGATTAGCTCGAAGAACTTAGATTTCGGGTCTGAGGAAGACGGAGCAACTCTAGCCTGGTCAGGGATCTGAAGTGAGAAAGCAAAAGGCTTTGATTTTTCAAGTTGTCATGTTGACCAAGGCCGTGTGTGACTGCACAGGCCAGCGGCAGGTACAGAGCGGTTGGGGGGGAAGGAAACCTGGTGTAAGGAAAGAGTGGGCAAGAGGCAAAGCGGAGAATCACTGCTCTCCTTCAGACCTGCAGTGGCACAACCCGAAAGCCACTTCCTCTTCTCTGGGGCTCTGTTGGTCAGTGTTGCTACACAGGGCTACCGGCACAAAATGAAACCTGTCTACCCACTGTGCCATCCTTTATTTTTCTTTTCTTTTGGGGGGGTGAGGTGGGGAGGGGTACCAGGGATTGAACCCAGGGGTATTTAACCACTGAACCATATGCCCAGCCTGTGTGTGTGTGTGTGTGTGTGTGTATACACACACACACATTTTTTTTTTTGTACCGGGGATTGAACCCAGCAGGGCTTACTCAACTGGGGCACATTCCCAGCCCCTTTTTGTTACTTAGAGACAGGGTCTCACTGAGTTGCTTAGTGCCTCGTTGTTGCTGAGGTTGGCTTTGAACTCACAATCGTCCTGCCTCAGCCTCCCGAGCTGCTGGGATTACAGGCATGCACCATGGCGCCAGTCTTATTTTTCCATTTTTTGAGACAGGGTCTCACTAAGTTGCTTAGAGCCTCACTAAATTGCTGTGTCTGGTTTTGAACTCACGATCCTCCTGCCTCAAACTCCTGAGCCGCAGGGATTGCAGGCATGTACCACCACAACCAGCACCCCATTCCTCTGTCCCAGCTGTAGGGACAAATTAAAGTTAAAGGGCCTAGTAAACAACTTCCAGCAGTGCCAAGATGGCCAGCCATGGAATGCTGAGGGTAGAAGACACTTTCCAGTTAAGGGAGGCCCTAAAGGTGACGTTCCCATTGTCCTCTATAGTGTCCCCGCCCCAAGTGACAATGGGCTGGGGGAGAAGCTTACCCCCCAGAGTCGGAGGCAATCTTTTCGGATCTCTGCCTGTCGAGGCTCACTCAGGGTCCTAGGGAAACAAAGCCAGCAAGTGATTAAAACCTTGGCACAGCAGTGCAGCCCTTGTGCACCTCTAAACTGCCAGGAGGGAGGTGTACACGAGTGAGGACACTCCATTAGTCCAGGGTGCGCTCACCTCACTCTCCTCCTGAAGACAGGAGCTCAGGTTCCCAGAACGGGACCACTTCCCCTTCCTACCACCAGGGAAGGAAGGAGACTGTCCTCATGACCACCTGGATGCCAGGGTTCCCCACACACCCTTCTTCCAAACACCTATCAGCACATTCTGGTTCCCCTCCTGACACAGGCCACATGAATGCTATCCTGGCAAATGTCACTATGCTGACATCCCACAAAGTTGAATTAACCCACATTTACTTCCACCAGAGGTTTTCCCTGCCCAGCCCTCGCTCTCCTTGTGGTCTTACTCTCTGCACTTATACCCAAACACTGTGTGTTCTGTGCCGTGCCCTCCACAGCCTCTGGGGCAGTGTGGTTAACTTCCTTATACTAACACACATTGAGTCTGGGAGAACAAAATTCACACCTTATGCTTCTCTGGCATCCTTTAGAGACCAGGGCAGAATATGAGATACAAATATGTTTTTAAATGATTATTAAAATTAAATAAACAAACAGCATGGGGGGAGGAGCAAAGCAAAATCTTCCCTTGAAATAGGTAAATTCTAAAAAGTGTGCAACACTCACGTGTCTTGAACGAAGGCATGGATTTTGGCCAGAGCTTTGATCTGCAGACTACAGTGACTAGGAGAGGGGAAAAAATTGATGTCAGAAGGATCACCAGAAGACAGCCAAGTGACATATGCACAGAGAAGTTGAGCCAAAGCAGTGGCCATCTGTTTTTGTAAAGGGATCAGAGAGTTGAGAGAACCACCCCCCACACTAGGTGCAGTCACATGGGCCCACTGAAGCTGAGAGCAGAGCAGAACTAGTCAAATCCTCCAGACACTTAGCTCCCAAGTCCTGCTAAAAGGAAGGTCCTCATGCTACCCTTGAAGAATTTGAAAGTAGTGGTGAACTTATTCTAAATAAAGCAACAACAAAGCCCAGACCCAGTTAAATTACAGACCACACTGACAATCCATCTACACGGACAGTGACCCTTTTTACTTTAGACTCCACTGTTCCTAACACACAATACCTGGTATTTACTTGTACTAGAGATTGAACTCAGGAGCACTTTACCACGGAGCTGCATCCAGTTTTTTTTTTTTTTTTTTTCATTTTTTATTTTCAGACAGGGTCTCACTAAGTTGCTGAGGATCTCACTAACTTGCGGAGGCTGGCCTCGAACTCAAGATCTTCCTTCCTCAACCTCCGAAGTCACTGGGATTATAGGCATGCATCACCATACCCAGCCAATATCTGGTATTTAATAAATAATCATCAGGTAAATGATGAAGCAAGAAGTGTGACCCACTGATAAGAGGGAAAACAGTTCAACAGAACAAGACCCAGGGGTGGCCTGAATGTTGGAACTGTCAGGAAGGGTCTTTAACTAATAAACATACTAAAAGATCTAGTGGAAGGGTAGACAACATTAATAGAGAGGATGGAGAATTTTAGCAAAGATATAGAAACTATATATTGGAAAGGCAAATAAATTTTTAAAAAATTTTTTAGTCGTTGATGGACACAATACCATTATTTTATTTATTCATTTTTATGTGGTGCTGCAAATCGAAGCCAGTGCCTCACATATGCTAGGCAAGCATTCTAACACTGAGCCACAACCCCAGCCCAAAGGCAAATAAATTTTTGAAAAATGAAAAAAAAGAACAATTATTTTGATGGTTATCAGAAGACTAAACCTAATTAATCAGTGAACTTGAGGACAGATAGGTCAACAGAAACCAAACTGAAACCCAAAGAAAAAAGTTGGAAGAAAAAAAAACAAAACAGGCCATCTGAGGTCTAAGGGCAATAACACTCTGATTAACATAAATATAACTGGAATCCCAGAAGCAGAGGAAAAAGAAGGATAAAAAAAATACTGACAAGATAATGACCAAGAAATTTCCATATGGAATGAAATCAATCCACAGATCCAAGGTCACTCAATTCCAAATAAATACAAAGAAAATCACAGAAGGATGTAGCAGGGCCAACCTGCTAAAAAAGGGAAACTCTTGAAAGCAGCCACAGGAAAACAGACACATGACATGCAGAGAATAATGGCTGACTTCTCATCAGAAACACAGAGGACAAAAAATGGAATAATATGTTTAAAGTGCTGAAAGAAAAAAAAATGATCAACTTCAAATTCCATATCCAATGCAAATATCCTTCAAAATGAAAGGGAAAAAATACATTTTTAAATAGACAAAAGCTGAAAGAATTAGTCTATAGCAGGCTTGAACTACAAAAATAGGCTCAAAGATAATTATTTGAAATATAAATCTGGTTCTCCAAGAAGGCATGAAGAATACCAGAGAGGCTAAATATGTCAGTAAATACCAAGAACATTAAAAGAAATAATATGTGTATGTGCATATATCTTTAAAGCACAAATAATTTAAAGTAAAACTAATGATATAAAATTGAGTTTATATAAAAACAAGAACACAAAGGTGGCAGGACAGTAATTGCATATATACTATTATAAAGTTCTTACACTGCAGCAGAATATTTTTGGAAGGGAGGCTATGATAAATTAAAAATGCATATTATAATCTCTAGAGCAACAACTAACACATAACACAAAAAGGCATATAAAAAAATCAAAGAAATAAAAAGGAGTACTAAAAATACTAAATTATTCTCCCCAAAAAGGAAAGAAGAAAAGAACAGAGGAACAAGAGCAAATAGGGTAAAAAGAAACCAAACAACCAAGATGGGGGATTTAAACTCAAACATATCAATAATTACACTCAATGTAAAAGTTTAACTATTCCAATTAAAAGGCAGAGATTTTTATACAGGTCAGACTGGACAAAAAGGTAAGACCCAAACATATGCTTTTCCCAAGAAATACATTTAATCATGAAAACAAAGACAGAAAACAGAAGGACAGAAAAACACCATGCAAGCACTAAGCTATAAAGGCTTATGAAGCTACATTAATAGCAAAGATAACTCAAAGAGTATTACTAAGGATAAATACTTTATAATGACAAAAATTCAACTAATCAAGAGGACAAGACAATCTTCACGATGCATGTGCCTAATAACAAAGCTCCTAAACAACTGAAGTAAACACTGACAAAACTTCAGGGAGTAGCCAGGGGTAGGGGCACAAGCCTATAAAACAAGCTACTCAGCAGGTGGAGGCAAGTGGATCACAAGTTCCAAGCCAGCCTCAGCAATTTAATGAGACCTGGTCTCAAAATAAAAAATAAAAAGGGCTAGGGATGTAGCTCAATTGTAAAGCACCCCTGAGTTCCACAGACACTGAAGGATAAAGTGACATTATAAATAACTATGCCAATAAATTCAACACCTTCAATGAAGTGAACAATAAATTTAAAAACAAATTTATTGGAAAAACAACCCTTAAAAAAACCCAAAGAATCTGAAAAAACATATATCTATTAAAGAATGAGTTTTGAAATTTCCCATAAAGCAAACTCAAATAGCTCCACAAGTTAATCTTATCAATAGATTTTTTTTTAAAAAAAAGAAATAACCAATGTTACATAAATTATTCCAGAAAATACAAAAAGAGGAATCATTTCTAAAGTCATGTTAAAAAACTAACATAGAGGGGGGAAGTGCTGGGGAGTGACATAGGCCAAATTATATTGTCATACTGTGCGCATGTACGAATATGTAACAACAAATCCCATCATTATTTACAACTATACTGCACCAATAAAAAAATGTGGGGGGAGGAAAAAAGACTTAACAAAACCCTGACACTAAAAACAAGCAAGGACTTAAAAGAATACAGAATTAGGGATTTTTCTCTCATGAATAAAATATTAATATATCAAATATAGAAATATATAAAAGTAGTAATACATCACGATCAACTAGAGTTTATCCCAAAATGCAAGACTTTTTTAACCATTTTGAAGTCACTCAATGTAATTAAATGTATTACCAGAACAAATAAGAAATATCCTGTAATAATTTCTTCAAATAAAGAACAAGTATTTGACAAAATTAAACATTCACCCATGGTGAAAAACTCTCAGCAAACTAGAAATAGAAGAAAAATTTGTCAACCTAATGACGACCTTTTTTTTTTTTCTTTTTTTCCTCCTTACTTTTTTCTTTGTGTTTCAGTTTGGGTTTCTGTTGACCTGTCTGTCCTCAAGTTCACTGATTAATTAGGTTCAGTCTGTTGATAACCATCAGAATCTATACAAACATACAGCTAACATCATACAGAACGATGTTAAACACTTTCTGGACCAAAGCAAGGAAAAATGTGCTCTTACCACTTCCATTCTTTATCACACTGGAGGAACTAGTTAGTGAGATAAGACAAGAAAAAAAATAAAAAGCATACAAATTGGAAAGGAGAAAAAAATATCTTTTTTTTTTTTTTTAGTACTAGGGATTGAACTCAGGGGCACTCTCAACCACTGAGCCACATCCCCAGCTCTATTTTGAATTTTATTTAGAGACAGGGTCTCACGAGTTGCTAAGCACTTCACCATTGCTGAGGCTGGCTTTGAACTCACAATCCTCCTTCCTCAGCCTCCTGAGCCACTGGGATTACAAACGTGCGCCACCATGCCCGGCTGAAGACATGATTTTGTAAATAAAAATATCTTAAGAACTATATCTAGCACTATTAAGTAGATTCTCACAGGATGCAGTTAATGTACAAAAAAACTAGCATCAATAATTGGAAGATGAGGGGCTGGGGATGTGGCTCAAGCAGTAGTGCGCTCGCCTGGCATGCGTGCGGCCCTGGTTCGATCCTCAGCACCACATACAAAGATGTTGTGTCTGCCGAAAAAAACTGAAAAATAAACTCTCTCTAAATAAATAAATAAATAATTGGAAGATAAAATTTTTAAAAAGTCATTTAAAATAATATCCTTGGGAATAAACAACAAAAGATTTTGTAAAAACCTCTATATTGAAAACTAAAAAAGACTGCTAAGGCTTTTTGAATAAATTAAAAAGCTGATTCTAAAACTTATATGTAAACACATAGCCAAAATAATCTTGGGAAAAAAAAAAGAACAAAGCTGGGAAACATACTATTTGTGAGATTTCTTTTGTCAAGGTATGTATGGTACTAACAAAAGGATAAATTAATGGAAAGGAACAGAGAGACCTGAAGTCACATGTATACAAATAATTTATGAAAAGAATAAAATTTATAAGAAGATAAGAATTTTTTTTTAAATTAATGGGAGGGCTGGGACTGTGGCTCAGCAGTAATGCACTTGCCTTGCATGTGTGAGGCAATGGGTTAGATTCTCAGCACCCCATATAAATAAACAAAATAAAGATCTATCAACAAACAAGGGAAAAAATATTTTTAAAAAATGGGAAAAAGTAAGTATTTTCAACAATTAGTGGACAACTGTATATCTATAAGAAAAAAAAAAGACACTTGACCCCTGTATCATATAATACACAAAAATTAATTTTAGATATACCACAAACATAAAGGATAAAAGAAAAAAGTCTGCATGAAAATAGGATATTATTTTCGTGTCTTGTGAAGGCAGACATTTTTAGAGAGAAAACAAATCATTACCAAAAGAAAAATTGGTAAATTATATTTCATCTTCAAGATTTTAAACTTTTAGATATCCGCGTTAGAAAACAAGAAGTAAAATTATCTTACTTCACAGATGACAAGATCTTAAAATAGAAAACTCTAAAGATTACACACATATACACATACAGCTGTTATAAGTAATAAGTGATTTCAGGGAACTTTCAAGATACAACATCAACACACAAAAATCAGTCACTTCTACATATTAACAATGAATAATCCCAAAAGGTAATTAAGAAAACAATTCAACATATAATAGTATCAAAAAGAATAAAATACTTAGGAATAAATTAAGGATGTAAAGACCTGTTCACTGAAAACAACAAAACACTGCCAAAAGAAAGAAGACATAAATAATTGGAAACATCCCATGTTAATGGATTGGAAGACGTATTACCATTAAGATGGCAATACTACCCAAAAATAACCTACAGATTCAATGCAATTCCTATTAAAATCCTAATGGCAGTTTTTGCAGAAAAAGAATATCCCATCCTAAAATTCATATAGAACCAGGAGTAACGACACGTGCCTACAATCCCAGCTCTTCAGGAAGCTGAAGGAAGAGGACCTCTTGAGCCAAGGGGTTGGGAAACCAACCTGAGTAACATAAGAAGACTCCGTCTCAAAAAAGGGTGGGGAGGTGCTGATAATGTAGCAGTGGTAGAGCACTTGCCAGCCAGCATACACTTGAGGCCCTGAGTTTGGTCCCCAGCACCATTAAAAAAAAAAAAAAAAAGGGGGGGGGGGGGGGGAGATCATATATAATTTCAAGGGACACTAAGCAGCTAAAAAAATCTTGAAAATGACAAGCAAATTTGGAGGATACACATGTCCTGATTTTAAAACTACTACAAAGCTCATTAAAACATTATAATATTGGAATAAAGATAGATGCTTGGAACAGGGTCTAGAAATAAATTCTCACACATATAGTTAAAAGATTTTTGACAAGACCATTAAATAGGGAAAGGACAGTGTTTTCAAGAAATGGTGCTGGGGAAACTGGATATCCACATTCAAAAGAAGGAAGCTGGACACTTATCTAATGCTACATAAAAAATGGCCTAAAGACCTTTGTTTATAATGGGCTAAAACTATAAAACTCTGACAAGAAAACAGAGGCAAAAAGCTTCATGACATTGAATTTAGCAATGATTTCCTGTATATAGTAATTAAAGAAAAAAATAGGCAACCTGAGCAGCATTAGTATTAAAAACTTCTGTGTATCAAAAAACAAGCAGTAGAGTGAACAAATAAACCACAGAATGGGAGATAATATTTTCAAATAAAGTATGATAAAAGATTAATATCCAGAATATATAAAGAACAATAAAAACCCAATTTTAAAAATGGGAAAGGTGTGAATAGACATTTCTCTAAAAAAGATACTCAAATGGTCCATAACACATGAAAAAAACACTCAAACAACACTAGTTATTAGGAAAATGCAAATCAATCACTTAGATACCACTGCACATATATTAAGAAGTCTATTATCAGAAAAATGGAAAATAACAGTACTGGTAAGGGTATGAAGAAATTGTAGCCTTCATAAACTGCTAATGGAAATGTAAATTGGTGTAGCCATCGTAGAAAAGAGTATGGCAGTTCCTCAAAACAAACAAACAAACAAACACCTTATGATCCACCAAAGAGAGGGGGTCAATTCCACTTACACGTGAATCTCAAAAGAACTGAAAGCAGCAACTCAAATAGATACTGGCATAGTGCTACTATGCAAAATATGGGGCTGCAGTTGTGCTCAGTGGTAGAGCGCCTTGCCTAGCATGTGTGAGGCACTGGGTTCGATTCTCAGCACAGCATATAAATAAATGAATAGTGCTATTATGCATAGCAGCTAAAAGGTGGTAACAGCCCCAATGTCTATCAACAGAAGGATAGAGAAAATGTATATCATATAAAAAGGAGTAAAATTCTGCCACATGGTGAATTCTGCAACATGATGAATCTTGAAAACATTATGCAAAATAAAATAAATCAGAAACAAAAGGATAAATATTGTATGAATCTATTAAATGAGATACCTAGAATAGGCAACTTCGCAAACACAGGAAGTGTAATAGTGGTTACCAGGGGCTGGAAGAAGGGAAAAATAGGGGTTTTTATTTAATGGATACAGAGCTGCTGTTTAAGATGATGAAAATATTCTAGAAATGTATAGTGGTGATGGCTGCACCACAATTTTAATTTCATTTTATGTTATATATATTTTCCACAATAAAAAAAATACTCAGAAAACTAAAAAAGAATTAAATATCTGCTTTTAAAAAGATAACATTCAGAAAATGAATAAGTATCCAGGCACAGTGTGGTACCTGCCTATAATTCCAGGAACTGGGGAGGATGAGGCAGGAGGATTGCAAATTCAAGGCCAGCCTGGGTAACTTAGCAAGACACTGTCTCAAAATAAAAAATAAAAAGGGCTAGGGATATGGCTCAGTGGTAAAGCAACTCTGGGTTCAATCCCTAGCACAAAGAAAAAAGAGAGAGAGAGAGAGACAATTAATAGGCAAACTAGCCAGGAACAAAGGCACAAGGGAGCTGAGGCAGGAGGAATAAGTGTGAGGCTAGACTGGGCAATTCAGCAAGATGATGTCAAAAAAATAAAATAAGATGGGGTGTGGCTCAGGGTAGAGCCCCTGGGTTCAACCTCAGGTACCAAAAAGGGGGCAAGCAATATATTTACCACACACATATTTGACACAGTACCTGTACCCAAAATACATAATTAATCCTACAACTTAAAGACATCCATTTTTAAAAATGTTGAAAAGAGGGGCTAGGGTATAGCTCACAGTGCTTGCCTAGAATGCTCAGGGCCCTATGTTCCATCCTCAGCACATACACATAAAAGGCACATGAAAAAGGACTCAACCTCATTCATCACAATGACATAACACAACACCCACTAGAATGGTTAAAATAAAAAAGGCTGACAATACCAAATACTGACAAGGTTGCAGAACAAACAGAACTTCAGACATTGCTGGAAGGAGCATAAATCAGTACAGCCATATTAGAAAACTACATGGCATTTAAAAATCTACCCTGTAATCTCAGAATTTCTACTCTTGGGCATTTATCCAAGAGAAATGAAAACATTTGTCCCTCAAAAGCCTTGTATAAGAATGTTTGTAGAGCTACATTCATAATGGCCCCCAACTGGAAATATCTCAAGTAAACCAACTACAGAAGAATGAATTATGTATATCCACATATTAGAATATTACTCAGCAATAAAAAGAAATTAACATGTGAATGTATCTCAAAAACATTAAGATGAGGAAAAAAAAACCAGACACAAGTGAATATTCTATGATTCAATTTATTCAAAGTTGTAGAACAGACAAAACTAACCTATGGTGATAAAAATCAGAAGAGATGTTGAGTTTGGATTCAACTCAGAAGGCAACAGAAATATTATCTTAATAGGGATGTAGACTACATGTGTGCATCTTTCAAAATTGATAGAAGTGTCCACTTAAAATCTGCATTTCAATTATAAAATTATATCTCAAATTAAAAAAAAGAAAAGTGGTTGGTTACAGGGTTGCTTAAACACTATTAGAAGCAGATGGCAACATGATTTAGGGGGAAAAAAGTGTTACAGAGCCCCAGAGTATTACAGAACGCTACTTCCCTGACTTCCTGGGTCTGTTTCCTCATCTATCGCATCCTAAAGTTGAGTGTCTACTCTACTGGGGTGACTAGCATTACTACCAAAATGAAAGGGCTTATGTGGGACTGTGGAGAGTTAAAATACAGGGTGATGCTCAAGAAATAACAAAGAGCAGGATAAAGACTTCCTTCCCTCTATGACTCTCCAGGGCCGTCTATACCTATCTTCTCTGGGAGACGTGGGATCTGACACTTTCCAACACCTGTTAGTCCCCCAGGAGAGCACTTTCTACTGAATCGCTGCTATTATATAATCCTCCAACCTACCTCAAAAAAGTTTTTTATAAGGCCTGTCCACTCAGAGAACTGAGCCAACTATCACAATCTTAAATTATTACCTCTGACAGAAAGCAGGGAGAATTAAGGATAATTAAAGGAGGTTTAAAAAAAAATTCAGACCACACACATATGGAACTCATGAACTGGACAAAGTCTGGCATTTCCAAAGCATTCTGTACACCTGCTTTCCACCCAGCTCCTGCCTCCACGCAGGGAACTTCTCAATGCAAACATGATGGTCTTTTACTAATAAAAGAGGCTGCTTTCTGCTAGGTTCTCTACCAGGCGCAGGCTCCGGCAGGCAGGCCTACACCAGACATGTACCCACCCACCACCCTTGGGACATGACTTGGGAAGAGAACAAGGATCCTCAAGGTAATCAAAATCCTACAGTACCCAGCAGAGCAGACCCAGATGACAAGGAGCTACCAAGGGCACGTCATCAGCCCTTCATTCTCTGGTGTTCCTTAAGACCCCAGTGCTAGTAGCAAAAACAACCGCTGGCTTACCTCTCATTAGACCGGATCATGTAGTCAGTAAATTCATGGTCTCCCTTGATCACCGTCAAAGGGACCACAAGGTTGACGTCAGAATCAGTGTTCCGCAGCTGGTTGAGTTTAATATTCACCGAGAAGAGGTAATCCCGCACTTCATCTATGCCCACTTTCAGGCCCTTGCACACAACATACCTGGCAGAAGACACTCTGTCACTTCACTGAGCAAGGGCTTCCTCCCACACATTCCTTTCCCCTAAAACTCTCAGAGAGTCACAAAGTTAAACAGCTTCCCTGTTCAACCTTAAGTCTATGATCAAAGAACAGCACAGACTCTGTGTGCCAATGTTCACCTCAGATCCTTCCCTTTTGTATAAGGCTGTATTTCCATCTCTATGGTGGTATTCCCAACTGCCCTGCAGCAGACAGGATGCATGGCCATCACCTCTAGAGTCTGCCAAATTACAGACCTAATGAATGAGACTCTCCAAGGACAGGGCCTAGAAATGTGTATTTTCAACAAGTTACCTCATTATTGTGACTGGCTGTGTTTGCTTTCCCTCATGTGGGGGCACTATGTCCCACCTGAGATGCCAGCAGAGCCTGCGGTTGGCAGCCTCTTGCCTCTTCCCAGCTTACATCCCTTTTCAAGTGTCCCTAGTATTGGTCCCCTCTCATAGACCAAGCCAAGAAGTTCTCAAATATGCATGGAGAATAAGACTTGTGGAGAAGGAGGCAGAGGCTGAACTAGCACAGCTCAGGACTCCTTGGGTCTAAGAATCCTGGCTCCTCATAGTGCTAGTCATTTCTCTAAAGTCAAAGTTTTAACATAGCTTGAGGGGTCCTGCCAGAGAGATGCACCAGCATTTGCTGTTCTGACTTTTAGCCAAGTCAGAAGAAGGCTCACCGCTCTGAGTTGGCAGGACGGCTGGTAATGGGTTTGAAGAGACACACTCGTTCAAAGCAGCAGTAGAGCAGGTAAATGAGTCCCACACTGAATGGTGTGAAGAGGTCAAAGGTTTTGCAAATGAAGTGGCCTCCTAAAACAGAAAGAACACACCAGTGGCAGTCAATGTGTCTCTCTGAGGAGATAGGTGAGGTAGCTACAGGCAATCAAGATGACTAAGAAATGACTCAGATGACTAAGTACCTGGGACCACTAAAAGTCAGAGGCAATTTATGGAAAAGTCAGTATTAGAGGGGACTTTGAGAATTCTATTGTCTTTTCTTCCCTAAATTCATCATTTAGCTACCTGTCACCTGATAAAAAAGTTTTCTGTTATGTTTTTTCTTTTTTTAAACTTCCCAACCAAACCCTGTAAATGCTTTAGTGAGTGCTGGGGTGAGGAGACAGCTGAATAAGTCACCTGTCCGGACAACAGATAGCGCCATGAGGAACTGACACAGCAGCAGTTGCTTGCTGAGGATCTCCTGCAGGTTCTCTTGCCCCTCCACTGAGAAACCCTGAAATGAAAGCACAGGGATCAGGGTGGGAAGAGACAACCAGTACTGAGAACATCATCCTACCTCATCTTCACAGAGACTGTGTTTTCACTGATCTTCACCATCTGACTGATAAAGATACAGCTCGGCATTTAAATTCTTCTGGCAAGGGCACCGAGTACTGGGACCCAGGCCTGACTACTGAACCAGTATCACTTTCCTGCCCTATCACTCCCAAAGGACAGGACCAAGTCTGTTTTCCCAAGGAAATGGAAAATTTCTAAACCCACATGGGAATCCAGGGAAGAGTAAGGCAGAACAGAGGCAAAATATTAGCTAGTCATGGTTAACCACAAGATGGGAAACGGAATGCCCTGTGAGTCCTAATAAGATCCAGGGAGTAAATATCACCAGAATACTCTGCTTGGGCTCATTGAGCTACTGTACCGACCATTGAACAGACCCTGGTCTAGTAAAAGGATAAAGGGATAAAGGTTAGCATAATTCTTAGTCACAGTGATACTCTTTCTCTCTTTCTCTCTCTCCCTCCCTCTCTCTCTCTCTCTCTCTCTCTCTCTCCCTCTCCCCCAAGGACTTGCTGACAATACCTGCTATCCTATCCTAAAACCATGGAGCTTCTTCCCTCCAGCTAGCACTCTCTGGCTAAGGAAACTTTCTCAAAAAGAAAAAGTTCCTTGTGAGATTCCAGAGTAGGGAGCCAAGACCCCAAGCCCACTTATAAGTAACAAAGGCCAAGGGATGGGGAGAGAGGGGAAAAGATAGTTGTTTAATGGGTACAGAGTTTCGGTTTTGCAAAATGAAAATGTTCTGGATATCTGTTGCACAACAGTATGAAAATACTTAATACTACTGAACTGTAGACTTAAAAATGGTTAAATGACATATTTTATTTTAGCTGTTTTTTTACAATTAGAAAAAACAAAAAAGAGGCTGGCCTCCATTAAGCTGGCTCCAACCAGATGTTGTGTCCCTGGCTCAGTCCTACAAAAGCAACAGCTAAATGAATCAGAATAAAAAATGTTTAGCAATGTCATCTAGTCTTATAGATGCTTCTCAAAATGCATTCCTGTTGGGCTGGGGGTATCCTTCAGTGGTACGGTGCTCACCTAGCAAGTGCAAGGCCCTGGGTTTGATCCCTAGCACCACCACCAAAAGGGGGTGGGGCAGGCCTATTTATAGGGTCAATTAAAAAAAAATTCCAGTTATCACACCACAATGGTTGCCTCATGAGCACTATCAGACCCCACAAATGCCCCCCACCCTACTAGCCCAAGTCCCATCTATCCACTATTCCCTGCTATGCATGATGTTTTGGAGAGCCAAGGCATCTTCAGATCTCTTACTGACACCCTGCCTTCCTTCCTTCATTTCCCACCTCACCTCCTGCAGAGGTACTGCTCGAGAGGCGCCCCAAGAGCTATAGAGCTTCTTATCAACTCTAGCCATGTTTTGGAGCAACTGCCACTGTGTCTATCCTTCCTCAGAGTAAGTGATGGCTCACTCCAGAAAGAACTACATCTGGTGTTGGGTCACTGGGTGAGACTTCTGCTGAAGAAAGGTGTGCTCTCACCATCAGGCAGATGTCCACTGACAAAGCCCCTTGAATATTCACTTTAGCCTAGCCACTGACAGAGCTTCCATGGATTCTTCTGAGTGGCTGCCTTTAGTTATATGTCTAGTCACTGGTTAACCACAAGATGGGAAACGGAATGCTCTGTGAGTCCTAATAAGAAGCTCCATGGTCTTAGGATAGGATAGCAGGTATCAGCTTATGAGAGGCTCAGGAGTGGCCACATATAGGAAGCCTCCACCAGGAGCAACACCAAGGTGACAAAGGATGGCAGCATGCTTCCCATTCAGTTGATTTTTTTCTTACCAGGTCTCACAGCCAATCAAGGTTTCTAAACAAAATGAGATGGGATGTTCTACCTTTCTCCAAGTATACATATCCACATTAACAATCTTCACAAAATCATGGACAATATATACAGAAGAAATAAAAATGCACACCCCTCGTATCTGGATAACGAGCTAGCACTTACCACCTCTGGCAGCAGCTTAAGGACCAAACAAAACAACAATTGTCAAACTGTCTCTAAATTAACAAACCTTTAATGGATCACTCTATGAAGAGAAGGCCACCTACCCCATCAGCCATCAGAAAGTGCACACCCTTGCGATCTGTGTTATCCAGGACAAAATTCCGAAAAGCACTGATGTTCTCTGGGCGGGTGATATCTCCATCTCCATCAATCCCACCCTCACCTGGCAGGACACAAGAGTCACAATGAGTTCATCTGCCCTGGGACATTCTACAAGCTGGGATATGAGCTCTCTGGGACAGTGAGCACAGGTACCAGGTGAGTCTTGAGACCCAGGGCCTATCCTGCAAAGTTGCCTTACAATGATGGACCAGGAGGAAGACCTAGTCTCTGCTATAATTAACCAGAGTGCAAAAGTAGCTGTCCAGCCAAGAGTCATCATATGAAACAGAGGCCCTTCCTCTTCAATACCCCAACTTGTAGTTAAAGCATCCATGCCCCAAAACCAATACTAACTTTTTATAAAGGACTGCTGTGGGGCTGCTGAGCTGCGCACTCCACACCTGGAACACAGGGCCAAAGATGGGTGTGCAGTTTGTATTTGTTAATAACCCTGCCAGTTTTCAGTCTTAGGCAGTTTCATTATTTCCTGTCATCACAAGAGAACAGTGCTCTTGCAAGGAGGAATTAATATGGCTTTGATGAGAGTTTACCTAGCACAGTGCTTAACCTGTGTTTTGCAGGCTGGGGACAGTTCGAAGGGCACCAAGACCCTCATTACAAGGACTGTGAACCCCAGGCCAAGAGATCTAGGAAAGAACACACTGTGTGTAGATAACAACTGCTTCTGGTCTGAAGCACTGCATGTGGGCTTCCCCTCAGACCTCCTCTCACCCTCCCTGCTCAGTGTCCCTACCATAGTAGGGCTCGAAGAGCTCACTGGAGGCCGAGTAGAAGTCCTCCAGCTTGAAGTCGTTAGGGCCCTTCAGAGTCATCCCAAAGCCCTTTGCATGCCACTTCTTCCTCCACAGCACATACTCTGAGAAGCCGCCTGGGCCTGCACAGACGTCAGCAAAGTACAGAAGCTCAGCTTCCCGATCCTTCACCAGTGGCTTCTGCAAAGGGAAGTAAAACACAGGGAGAAAGGGAAAAAAGATGGCTCACTGAGGAACAGGAAAAAGGACACAGGGGAATAAAGTAAGTCTTTTAGCAAGTATAATCCAGAGCCTCCCCCAGAACCACAACATCCAGGATGTGGATCCTCTGTGATTATCACCACCTGGAGTGACCCAGCCCACTCCCAAAATACCCCAAATGCCTTTCATACACTAGGGCTAGTTCAATAATAAAACATTCTAAAAAAACATCTCTGTACATATCTGAATGGCATTTTTATTTCTCAGGGCTTATCCAAACCATACCCTGCCATTCATGATTTCTACTGAATAGAAATATTCTGCCAAGTTAGTGCAGAGTTCCTGTATTTCACCCAGTTGCCAGTTTCGTTAATACATAACCATGACAAATATGTCAAAACTAGGAAACTCTCATTGCTATGTTACTATTAAAAATAAACTCCAAGCCAGGCATAGTGGTGCATGCCTATAATCCCAGTAGCCCCAGAGGCTGAGGCAGGAGGATCGCAGGTTCAAAGCCAGCCTCAGCAACAGCAAGATGCTAAGCAACTCAGTGAGACCCTATCTCTAAATAAAATACAAAATAGGGCTGGGGATGTGGCTGAGTGGTCAAGTACCCCTGAGTTCGATGCCCAGTACCCCAAACAATAAAAAATAAATAAACTTCAGGGCTAGGGATTTAGTTCAATGATAGTTCAATTGTCTCTCAAATCTGAAGCCCTGGGTTCCACCCCAGCATCACAAAGGAAAAAAACTAGGGTTGGGATTGTGGCTCAGTAGTTGAGTGCTTGCCTCACATGTATGAGGAGCTGGGTTCGATTCTCAGCACCACATGTAAATAAATGAATAAAATAAAGGTCTATCAACAACTAAAAATACATTTAAAAAAAGTAAACTCCAAAGTTTATTCAGAGTTCACTAGCATCCTCTTTCTGTTCCACAATCCAACACAAGACACCACATCACACTTGTCTGCTGCTTTGTACTCCCTTCCTTCTCCTGCCTTTGCCCAGTTCTAGGTGGGGGACCCGAAAGCACAGCACCATGGGAAGCTGGCAAGGTAAGACAGTTGGCACAGCAATGGCAGCTTCCCACGCAGCCCAAAGCACCCTCTACCACACGCCTGACTAAACCACAATCATCATTTGAATTTTTATTCGATTACATTTTTGGCCCTTCAAGTATCTTTCTCTCTTAACCTCAAATTGATGCCGGATCCACCACTGCTCCACACTGTGTTGTTTATATTTCTCTTTTTACACAAATGCCATGGATGCTCTCATCAACCTTTGAGCCCTAGTTGGTGAATTCTACCCTCTCAGCAGAAAATGGACTATCTGCACTGGTGACATGAGGGTGAGTTCTGGAATGGGTGACCGAGAGGGCTATGGTTGGCTTTTAAGGGGCCTCGAGCCCTCAGCCTTCCTTTTCCACAGACTGGGCAGGGCCAAGCACTTGTCCAGAGTTCTGCAACTGCCAGATAAAGATCGGAATCCAGTCACTTCCAGAAGACAAGGGCCTTGCTTTATCAAAACAGTGGAAAAGTCTCTGGAGAAATGACTTCAGCTAAAAATAAACTTCGTCATGCTGTGACAAGCCCCCTTGGGCATGCTGGGACATATCAGTCCTTTCCCCTATTCCTCACTACTCCTCCCCAGTGTTCTTTGTTCCTGAGCCATTAATTATTCATATTTTTGGATTATATTCATTTGCACACTCAAAAAAAGAATTAATGGCATTTACCAAGAACATTCTGTAGCACCTTCATTCGGCACAGTGCTAATGAAGCAGAGGTCATAAGTTCAAGCCCTGCCCACACTGCAAAGATGGAAAACAATGTTCCTCACCACTGGCTGTGCCTCAGCCCAGGCTCCGGCCTCTCTGGGTGAACTACTGAGCCAAAGATTGGGGACAAGAAGGGCAATGACTCAATAAGAGCATCTCAACTCTTACAAGGTGTCCTAAACACGACCTCACTCTATGATTTCAAAATGAGTGGCCCTCGCAACCATGGCCAGGAGTCTGTGCATAGAAAGGACAGCTGGGGGTCTCAGCTCTACTTATTGGCTGTGCAGTCGGAGCAAGCACACAATTTAAACCTTTAAATTCAAGGTTTAAACACAATTTAAACCTTCCTCAACTATAAATCAGGATTAATGTAGGCATTTCCCAAGACTGTTGTAGGTTAAATAAATCACTGCAAAGACTTTTCTCAAACTGTAAAATATTCAACAAATAAAAGATGACACTATACTCAACTGGATCAACTTCTTTGGAGTCAAAACTCTTATCCTTTTTCTTTTCTATGCCAAGTGCAGCACTCTAATTTCCTCTAAGACAGGACTGAAACGTAAAGATCCACATTCAGTTTTTGTCTTCTGTCACACTTCACAATGTTTTTTGTTTTGTTTTGTTTTGTTTTACCTCAGCAACATCTCCTGGCACAAGAATCCCTCACATAATACAGTAGATTGTAACATGCTTCCATGTACTCCAACCAAGGATCTAAATTCCCTTCTTTCCCTTGTGTCTTCCAATTCTTTTTTTTTTAAAACATTTATTTATTTATGTATCTTTAGTTTTAGGCAGACACATTATTTTGTTTTATGTGGTGCTGAGGATTGAACCCGTTGCTCTTGCATGCTAGGCGAGTGGCTCTACCAATGAGCCACAGCCCCAGCCCCTCTTCCAATTCTTATTTACAATTTTTTTTTCTCCTCTAGTCCCTTTGCTCCCTTTACCATAACCTGTAGCACCAGAGACCTATTTAAAAACCCAGATTCCTGCCCCCGCCTCCCACCCTCTCCACACTCCCCTGTCAAGTTCTCTGATTCTTAGTCTGTAATCGTCTAATTCAAGAGCCACAAAGCAAGCCCCTAGCAAGCCTGGGTGTGTGCTGGGCCTCCTGCCACTCCCACCTCTGCTGGGGACTGGTCTGGTGTCTCTGGCTGCCTAAAAAACAACCAAGCCTGCTGGGCTTGGCTGTCACTGGGTCCTCAGGGAAAAACAGAGATGAAAAGAGAGAAGAAAATACTAGGGGCTCAGAAAAAAAATCACTTTCTATAGTAGAGTGTAGAGAAACATCTCTGAAAGGGCAATTCTCCATGGCCCCTAACAATCAATTCGGGTCAAGAAGCTGCCTAAAGCGTTACAAACACGGCTGCCCTTTCTTATATAACTACCATCTCCACCCTCGACCTCAATGGTACAATCCTGGTGCCTACTTCATTTTCATGACAGTAAAAGACAATAACCAGATACCAGCTGCTGGAGGCGTTTACATTTAAAAGCCCAAAATGACACTGTGACTTCCCATCAGCTTAACAGAGTTCCTCTGCCAGGCAGGGGTTTAAAGGAAATCATTGGGAGCTCAGAAAATTAAATCAACATTATATCAACCTAATTTTCTCAAGATGCTAATTCCAAGAGCCCATTTGTGCTGCCTGCTGGTCCTGGAAAATGGGGAGGGAGCCCTGGGAGAAAAAATGAGTAAAGGCTAGAGGGGTCTGCATGCCAGTTTTGACAGCATGATGGAAGTAGTTAGGCAGGTAGAGCTGAAACATTAAGGAACTTGAAATAAGTTTCTTTAGCCCATGGGTAATAAGGGGGTCTAGCAGAACGTGGGTAAGTGAAGCAGAAACAGGTTTGGGGGCAGCTGGCTCCTGGCCCTATCACTGTCAAAGAAAACTAACTTTCCAGGACTGAGGGAAAATGCTTTGAAACTCTGAAGAGAATTCTAGAATGAGGTTTCCTTTTTTGTTTCTCTATCATTATAGAATGTCAACATTCATAGAAACGACATGGAGCAGAGGAGAAAATCATTTTGCTCTACCACTTATTTTTTTAAAATTTTTTTAGTTATACATGGACACAATATCTTTATTTTGTTTATTTATTTTTTATGTGGTGCTGAAGCTCAAACCCAGTGCCTCACATGTACAAGGCAAGCGCTTTGCCATTGAATCACAACCCCAGCCCTCTACCACTTCTTTTTTTTTTTTTTTTTTTGAGAATTTCAATATTTATTTTTCAGTTTTTGGCAGACACAACATCTTTGTTTGTATGTGGTGCTGAGGATCGAACCTGGGCAGCACGCATGCCAGGCGGGCACGCTACCACTTGAGCCACATCCCCAGCCCTCTACCACTTCTTGAAAAGGGCTTGTTCAGAGAGGCAGAAAGTGGCCCTGTTACAGAGCTTGGTGCTAGAACAGATCTTAAGAGCCTTCTGGTATACTGGGGCACTCCTGGGACCATAGAAGCACTATGGGACTGTATCTGGAGAGCTCAAAGCAAAACATGACTGTATTACACAGCAGGAATACTCTCCTAACACTGAACAAATGGCAATTTTTGAGTTACTGAAGCTTAAGTCGACCCAGCACCATGAATTCTCACCCCATAAGAGTCCCGGGGATTTGTAAACATGTGATCAAACACAAAATCCATGTTAGCCATCTTCATCGCTGCCCTGCAACAAAGCAAGATAGAAAAGTGCAACTCAGTTCCAAATGTATGAAAAACCGAGGTTCAAATAAAAGGTGGAGCAGGGCCTGTCAGGGGAGGTAGGGGAAAGGTCAGCAAACCTGTTAAGGAAGAAGACTCCTCGGATCATCTCGTAGGGATTGGCCCGGGTCCGAGCTCGCCGCATCTCCTCCCCATCCAGGACATCAAACACACTCTGCCCAAAGAGAATCAAAACCTCCAGGTAAGTGTCATCCTGGCCCCTCTGGGACAGGACAGTGGTGGTGCCTGACTCAGGCCTTCCAGGAGATAGGCTGCCATTGTATCTTAGCTCTGAAATGACGAATTGTGTGACCCTAAACAAGTTGCTCAATTATTCTGACCCCTCAACTACCTCACCTGTAAAGGGCAAAAAAACAAATTGAAGCTGGCATCTGACACATGTTAAATAGTATGTGTGGCTACACGTAGAACCACCTCTTGGTACTGCTAATCCCCACGGCAAATCCAAAAGAGCTGATATTCAGGCTCACGTGACTAGAGGTCACTTAGAAGGGAAACAAACCAAGAGCAGGGTTTTTTGAGGGCAAAAACCCTCAAAACTAGAGATCCCTTCTCCCTTTTAGTTCCCCTCTGCAGTCTCCTCTCTGGAAACTGACATCCTTATTTCACTTGCAGCTCAGTCACCTCATGGGGATATTCCCAACTATATGTCTGCCAAAAAACAAGCTCTGTGTGGCCTCTGTCCCTCTTCAACCCATTTCCTCCCTGGAGTTTCCCTGCCTCATTCTGCCCCAGACATGTGCTTCCTGATTCCCAATCAGGACAAAAAAGCATCCAGAGGAGGCCAGCATTGAGCTGGGTGCTTCACATCCACTGTTTTCATAACTCCAGCTCTCATAAGCACCCACAGAGGTATTTTCTACCCAGTTTATAGATGAGGAAATAAAAAAGATGCTGAGGCAACTGGCCCAATATCACAAAGCAAAAGAGTTGTACAATTAACTTTGAATCCAGGTTTATTTGATGCTAAAAATGATCCCAAGCTTTTTGCTATACCAGGCCTCCTCAGGATTACAATGAACTGATCCATTAAGGTCAAGTGAATTCTTTCCTAACTACTGACCACAGAGACAGCACAGAGACAGCAAGATAGTCACTAGGAAAAAAAAAAAAAAAAAAAAAAGACATTTTGGAGATATATACCAGGCTACGTATCTGATCTATAGGAAAAATCTTAAATTCAATCCCCCTACAAATGACCAAAAAGAAAACTGGACAAGTCTGGCCAATCACTTCACAGAAGGTTTTCATGTTTGGCTCTAGCCACAAGTCTTACCTTACACTGCAACATACTGTGAAGCAGCTCTTCTCCACAAAACTCTGTTTCGTCTTCAATAATCATCTTTCTCTACAGGGAGAAGAAACAATAAATAATGACCAAGTGTGACTGAGGGGGGAGGGATGGGTGAATGGAGAAATTAGGGTTCCAAGTGAGCAGAGCAAGAAGGGGCTTGAGTCCCTGCCAAGAAATATCAATCCCTGAGGAGTGAGAATGACACAATCCTAAATCCCTCTGGCTGTCCTCCAGATGGCTGTGAGATGAAGCAGTCCCCTGGGAGCTCTGAGTGGAGCACCATATGGACACCAGACTCACGAATGCTGAGGCCAGGAAAAGCAAACAGGAAGGAGACAGGCAAGCTGCCTGTCCCTGGAGCACATAGGTAAAAGGATGGGGAGTGCCCCAAGTGATAGAGGCCTGTCCTTCAACCAGGAAGCCTCTCGCTCTCAGATGAGTACAACTGCTTGATCCCAGGCCCCTGGCCCAGTAGCATTAGAGAAAATAAAGGCTCAGGGCTACAGATGGAGTTCAGGGGTACAGTGCTTACTAGCATGTGCAAGGTCCTGGGTTCAATCCCCAGCATCCCAAAATCATTTTTAAAAAATAATTGAGGACTCCAAGCTGGGCATGGTGGCACACGCCTGTAATCCCAGTGGCTTGGGAGGCTGAGGAAGGAGGACCCCAAGTTCAAAGCCAGCCTCAGCAAAAGCGAGGCGCAAAGCAACTCAGAGAGACCCTATCTCTAAATAAAATACAAAATAGGGCTGGGGATGTGGCTCAGTAGTTGAGTGCCCCTGAGTTCAATCCCCAGTACCAAAACAAACAAACAAACAAACAAAAAATTCATTGAGGATTCCAAAGAGTTTTGTTTATATGAATTAGGCAGATATCAATGTTTAGTAATAGAAATTAAAACTAAGATTTTTGATGCTTCTTAATTCAATGTAAAAGAAAACTATGTTAACAGAAATTATTTTATGAAAAATAACCATATTTCAAAAAAATTTAGCAAGGAGGATAGTTTTATTTTTCAGTTTTGTAAATCTCTTCAACATCTGGCTTACTAGAAGAAGGCTAAGTTCTCTTCCTTGATTTTGTATTTTGATCATTTTTTTCACCAATAAATTGTAACATCACATGTCAAAGTTTCTGAAAAATTCCACTGATCACCTGTGAATCTATGAGAGTAAAGGGGCAAATAACTTTTCAAATCATTACGAAGATAATTTTGACCTTGTGAACTCCCTGAAAGGGTCTCAGAGATCCCCAGGGGCCTCCACACTTAAAGAACTACTCTCTAAGCACACTGATTTGGTAGCCAACTTTATTCTTAAGATTTTCTAGAACAGGATTAAACAAATTCCTCCTGTACCAATTCCATGATTACTTTCTGAAGATAGGGACAATATCTTTTCATTTACCTGGATGGTGCCCAGCAGTGACCAGAATATACAAATACACAATAAATCACTCCATAAGGCATCCGTAAGGAAGAGATAGAGGTTACTCATTTTGTCTGCCTGTTAAGTTCAATGACTAGGAGAAAAAAAAAAAAAAAAAATCTGTCTGCTACATCTCCAAGGTGCAGATTTATAAAGCCCTCGATAAACCCTCTTAACAGTTTTATTCCTTCCATAATGGTCAAATTTTTCTTAAAACTATAAGTATCCATATAACAGGACTCAAGAAGGAGAAAAGTTAGGAGAGGCTAAGATATTAGGGTACATTTTACTGACATCCTACCTTTCCCACAACCATCCAATCACTCATTTCTTGAGTATCAGGAATTTCAGTGGTGCACTCTGGGAACCATGACACCTGCTCACAGGCACTGGGCTATGAACAAAAGAGAGGCAAATAAGTCGGGTAAGACAGATCCTTGGGGCTCCACCCCAAGTCTCCAGGACTTCCCCAAAACAATCCAGAGGGACTCAGACTGAGAAGGCTCCAAGTTGCTGAAGCCAAATGCAGTGGTCAGACATGAGAAGGGAAAACCAAAATTTTGAAGTTCAACTTCTGAAGGCCATCTCTGGTTCTGTTTTGAATCTCTAGAAACTTCCCAAATCTTCAAGGTTTCTTTAATTTGTTCCAATATTATTTGATGAGTACCTACTATGTATTCCTCAGAATACAGACTTAAATAAGACAGGCCCTTGACCAAAGAAGTTTAAAATTAGAGTGGTGAGGACAGAGAAGTCAACAGGTGTTTGTAACATATGTGATATATAGACATAGATACATTTTTTTTTTTTGTACTGAGGATTGAACCCAGGAGCATTTAACCACTCAGTCACATCCATAATCCATTTTTTTTTTTTTTGAGACAGGATCTCACTAAATTGCTGAGACTATTCTCGAACTTGTCATCCTCCTGCCTCAGCCTTCATACACACACATACACATACACAAACATTTATGAAAAGGCCTCAGCCTTTACTTATTTATATACACACACACACACACACATACATATTTATGGAGTTAATTTCATCAAGAAGACAGTGGCAATGAGTCTCACCTCCTGATGCTTTCACAGTGTTATTCACAAAATAACCCCAAAACTGCTTATTATACCCAGAAATTGGTTATTTATTCCTCTCTCAATGATTCCAATACAGCAGAAGCTGGCATCTCTGATGGCTGCTTCCTCTTAATTTTCAATGACTTTCCCTAACAGCCAAAGACAGTGGTTCTCACTCTAACTGTACATTAGGATCTCCTGCAAGGCTTTTCAATAAAATTTCTGATGTACAGGCCCTAGCTTCAGACTACATGATTCTGTTGATCTGAGATGGGGACTGGATATATGTTTTTAAAAGTCCCCAGATGATTCTACTGTGCATCCAAAACTAAGTACCACTGGGCTCGAGAAACATGGATTATAAAACCTAACCAGGTGGCTAACCTGCATGGCAGCTTCACAGATTGCCTCCCAAGCAAGTGTGGAAAAAAGATTCACCATTGCAAATTGAAGCAATGTGATTAAAGGTAATATTACATGCTCTGAAAGCCATAAAATTGTATCACAATGCAAGGTCTTGAGGGCAAGCAAACTGCCATCAACAGAAAAAGTAGAAAAGAAAAATTACTGAAACCTTTTGTCCATGAATCTGGCAGTGTAACATGGTTTCTCCTCCTGGTCAAATCCATCACCTTTAGGCATAAATTTAAATTATAAACTTTAGGGAAAAAAGTTCATATATATTTTGGATGCTCCTTTATCAAGCAAATGCAGACTCAATCTCTCCATGAAAGTCTATACATTAAGGTTACCTGAAAAGTGGACTTTATCCAATGGCTCAAACCTTGAGTTTACACTCCTGGACTGTAGTAGCCACTGAGCATTCTCCTTATAGTGATCCCAGGTCTGGACATTTCCTCAGGCCCCCCAAATTCATCTGTCTTAAAGAAGTGGATAGCGGGCTGGGGATGTGGCTCAAGAGGTAGCACGCTCGCTTGGCATGCGTGCAGCTCAGGTTCGATCCTCAGCACCACATACAAACAAAGACGTAGTGTCCGCCGAAAACTAAAAAATAAATATTAAAATTCTCTCTCTCTCTCTTTAAAAAAAAAAAAAGAAGTGGATAGCAACTGATGGTTGAGCCAAACTCTGACTTATTTATCAGGCATGTTTTCTAAGACAAAAACTGAATAATGGCAAATGAGAACTGGGAAAGTCTCACCCCAAAAAGGAATTTCAATAGCTTATTTCAATTAAAAACAGAGATCTTACAAGCAAATTTCAGATTTCTAGTTTAACAAAGTTCACTTAAATTCTGTGCCACTGAAAGGATCAAAACTGTGTACTTGTTTACACACAAATAAAAACTTGGAAAGCACTAGGTATTTCTCATGCAAAAGCCTCTATCTAGTAACCTACCCATCATAGTCTTTTTCAAGGAGGCACTTTTTCAAGGAGGCACTGGTGATTCAGTGGTAGAATTCTCGCCTCCCACCTATTCTGCACTGTCTCCTCTGCTATTCTGCTACACAGCATCATAACTACAAGGAAACATAGAAAGACCACCCCAGAACCTATTAGTTCCTGGCTTGTCAAAATTTCACTCTGAAGCTTTATTAGGCTTTCATCATGAGCAGGTTCACATCCTTTCCTGAACTGGAGACAAAAATCAGAGAGACAGGGTTGGGGTTGTGGCTCAGTGGTAGAGCGCTTGCCTAGTACATGTGGGGGCCCTGGGTTCAATCCTCAGCACTACATGTAAATAAATAAAATAAAGGTATTATGGCCAACTACAACTAAAAATTAAAATGTAAAAAAAAAAAAAAAAAAAAATCCAGGGAGACAAAACGATATAGCAATATCCAGCTAGTTCAGAGCCCCATCTAAAGCTCAATCACACCAACTATGTAGAAATGCTAGACATTTGTATTCTGTGGAATAAAATAGGACATCAATAAATGAAAATAAAAAAATCTCAACGTTATCTGTACCATGAAAAGAGATAATAAGAGTCTCTTTTTTTGGGGGCTGGGGATGTGGCTCAAGCGGTAGCGCGCTCGCCTGGCATGCGTGCGGCCCGGGTTCGATCCTCAGCACCACGTACAGACAAAGATGTTGTGTCCGCCAAATACTAAAAAATAAATATTTAAAAAAAAAAAAAGAGTCTCTTTTTGTCTCACAACAAACTGGTACTTAAGACAACAGATTAAGCTCACAGTAGAAAAGCAATATGGCACCAACAAACACCTGTTAACTTGTGGAGATGGAAGGATCTTAGAGGATACCTAATCCAGTCAGTCACACAATGGACAGTAAAGGCTCATTTGGCCCACTTGAATCCCTTCAACAGAGGGTGTCCACAGCCTTTCTTATTCCACTAGTGGTGAGCTGTACCTATTCACTAAAGGTTTTTATGAAGCCAAACACTGCCTTCCAGCATCTTTTACCTACTAGTCTTAGAAGTCCTAGAAAACAACGAGACACAAATCAATATCCTTGCCCAGTCTTCTACTTTCCATTCTGGACATCCCCAGTCCCTCCCATGTAAGAAACTAACCCCCTCTAACCACCCTGCTTACACTGCCACTATAGATTTCTGTTTGTTAATATGGTCTCACAAAGCCACACATCCAAAACCACAAGGTTTCCTCCATCTCTCACTAGTTACCTCTGGTTCGTCTCGCCAGTCCACATTCAGCTCCTGATCAAAGCCCCTCAGGGTCAGACCCAAGCCTCTTCGACCTTTCTGATTAGAAGCCTCAACAATGTCCTTCCGACCTTGGCTGTATTTTCCCAATCCTTCACCTTCCTTGAAGCCCATTTTGGCCTGAAAAAGAAAAGAGAGCACAATTAATTCAATACAACAGACATTTATTTAGCCCCTATCATATGCCAGATACTGTGTTAAGCCCTGAGAAATACAGATGATTAAGGCCTAAATTCTGCCTTCTAGCCTAATGAAGAAAAGAAGCATAAATAAATAACTGCAGTAACCATGGGTCCAGTGACTGTCTATTCTGAAGGTAAAGGTCTGTGGCAACTAGAAGTTGGATAAATGAGAAGGGACCACATAGCTATAATTAAAAGCACTAAGAGTACATAATGAATCTCACTGGACATTTGCACAACTTATCCTTCCAGCTAATTTGTCTGATTAAGTGAAAAGATCCAGAGTAGAGTTGATAAAGAGAACATAATTTAAAATGGGACAGCTCTGAGCAGTAACTTCTGCCTGACCCTTAGCCAGTCAAACAGTCTTACTCTGCAAGAATAATGAGCTCTTGTAGGAGCCCATTTAATCAAGAGATTAAACTCACTTCAGGTGAAATTCTGGTATGGAAGGTCCTGGGACAGAAATGCTTTTTCAAATGTCACAACTGTCTGTAAGTTTACCCTATACTCTACAGTTCCTGGGTCTAGGAACACATCCCAAAGATAAAAAACCCAAATCTCAAATCCCTTACCTGATAAAAGAACTCTGGTCCAGAGAAATTCCCCCTGGAGATCTACATTCTTGTTGAAAGCACCTGCTCAAGATCTGGATGGAATCCCTACAGTAGACACAAATCTTCCCCGCCCCCGCCCCTCAGAGAGCTGGCTGTCACAAGTCTCCCTAATCTTCCCTCTCCCAAAGCTTAAGGCCCCCAAACGAATATCCTGACCTATGACTTCGGCAGGGGCATTTCTCATTCTTAAGGGAATCCAACAGGAAATGGAGGAGTCAACTGTGATATTCCTGAAGTTAGTCAGATGGGAAACTTGAACTCTATAACCTTTAAACATATATACTAAATTTTGGTGAGGAAAGTAAGCACTCTCCCTATTCACCTTTCTTCTTGTGATATATCAATGGGTATAAAAATTGGGAAAAGGAATTGGGCCTTCTTTGGAAAAAAACACCATACTACTCCCATTTATTTTGGGACTAAAAAAGAGTTTAGTCATTTCTTCTGAGATTACTCGATAGAACAAAAATTCCTAGCATGAAGTCTTTATCCACTGACACACATCATTTTTAGGCAAGTATATTCACACATGCTTATAGTAAGAATTCATTAGTAAGGATACCAAAAGGTGAACCAGTTCTGGATAGAATAGGAGGAAATAGGCCTATGCAGTCACTTTCCATAGATTATCCCAATGTGACAGATACTTCTATAGAAAAGGAGGCCACACTCTTGTCAAATTTCAGTAGCTGGAAAAGAGAGGAAAAAAATCCATGCCCTAGCTTTTCTTTTTGTCATACAAATACAAACTGCCCTTCTCTCACTCTGTTGGGGCAGCTTTAGAATTTCAACCCAAGCAGTGACATACCATAAGCTTCTGGGAGACACTGTTATACATGGAGTAACGAGAAGATGTTCCCTCCACCAGAGAGTCTGCTTTGAATGCATCATCAAAACAGTCAGAGCTACGCGGCTTCCCCTCTGTCTCACTGTCAGACTCACTTAGGCTTGTAGAAGATGCTGGAAAAGAAAAAGAGAAATGTTGAGGTAAGTTTATGTCACAAAATAGCCTCTACAAGTCCAAACTTCATTCATTCAAGAAGTATTCCATACATGCACTGCATACAAGAGGTTCATTTAATGACAATGTGTTTTCTACCTCTCACTAGTTCTATAATCATGGGAAAGTCACTGAAAGTTTCTAGGGTACTTGACACAATAGGAGCTCAAAAATAATAGTTCCCCACCCTTTAAATTTCCCCCACTATAAAACTGGGATGGTAACATCTAACTCACTGGTTGTTTAAAGATTAAATGAAAAAACATGTGAAAGCATACTGTCAAATACAAAGTATATTGGCTGAAGATACTTTATTTCTACTGCTACTGTTTATTTAAACATCAATTTCTACAAAGACTGATGCCTGGTTCCATTTCCAAAGATTCCATCAGCAGACTACCAGTTTCTAATTGTTTAATCTTCTTGCTAGTTCTCCTTGCTTGCACAGTCCTTCAAACTTATTGGTAGGAGAGAGGGTTCACGGGCTGCGGTTGTTGCTCAGTGGCAGAGTGCTTACCTAGCACATGTAAGGCACTGGGTTCCATCCTCAGCACCACACAAAAATAAATAAAATAAAGGTATTGTGTCTGCCTACAGATAATAAATACATATATATATACACACACATATACATGAGATATATATATATATATATATATATATCTCAAAAAGGGGGTGCCCACACTGCAGCTCTGGAGAAAAGCTGGCTCACAGGGAGAGAAATCGGGGAAGAACAAGAACAGAAGCAACAAGTGAGGGGAAAAAGAGGAAAGGAAGGAAGGAAAAAGAGAAAGGAAAGAAAAACAGGAAAAGAAGCTCTGGTGGAACCACCAACTTAGATAGAGAGTAGCAGAGGCACAGCTCCAGGAGGGAGCCAGCAGCCCGAGGGAGTCAAACCATCATCTTCACCATCAACAACTTTGTTAAAGAACCTCAAGGAAGGAGCACCTTTGCAGCTATAAGAAGTGCTGAGCTACCTCCATATGGACAATAACTCCACTATCTCTTTCCCTCCCTTATGCAGACCTATGAATCTATTAACCCAATGTAATTTTATTCAAGGAGTCTCTCAAATCTGCCTGAATTTGGAAATAGACTATTTCTTAAAAGTTTGGTCAACAATTTCTATATAACCCCCCACTGAAAATGATATAAATTACAAACCAGGGGATAACGCAGAACAGGAAATGAAAGTGGTGACATTCAACCAGAATCCAGGGATAGAGAAGTCGTACAATGCCTATATCTCATTAATAAGTAATTGTGGTTATTTAAAGATAAAATGAAAATATTTTTCAATTTATGTGAATTTCAAGTGTTTTTATTGTTGTTAGAAAATAAAGTCTTTTTACTAGCCAAGCTTGGTGCCATATGCCTGGAATTCCATCAACTCCAGAGGCTGAGGCAGGAGCATCACAAATTTGAGGCCATCCTCAGCAACTTAGTTGAGGCCCTAAGCAACCTAAGGAGATTCTGGCTCAAAGTGAAAAATAAAAAGGGTTTGGGATGTAGCTCAGTGGTAGCACACCCTGGGGTTCAATCCCCAAGTAACAAAATATAATATAAGATAAAGGCTTGTTACTTAGAGTTCAATAAATATTTAATAACCTGAATTGTTAGGCTGTTTTTTTGTTTGTTTTTGTTTTTGTTTTTGTACCAGAGATTGAATCCAGGGCACTTAACCACTGAAGCACATCCCCAGTCCTTTTTCATATTTTATTTAGAGGAAGGGTCTCCCTGAGTTACTAAGTGCCTTGCTAGGTTCCTGAGGTTGGCCTTGAACTCACAATCCTCCTCCCTCAGCCTCCAGAGCTGCTAGGATTACAGGCATTTGCCACCATGCCTCACAGGTATTTATTTTGACCTAGGGACATGGTAAAAACAAAAGTGCAACACTAAGAGTGCCAAGAAACAAGAAAGCCTGAGAACACCTGCTGATGCAGGGAAACAGATCACCAAGACACACTGCTATAGAAATAACAGAAGAGCAAAGCCACATGCACAAGTACGGCCTCCTGAACTTTTGCGTAATACAGAGGGAAAATACAACTATATATTTATATTTCTTGTAATTGTATTATAATTGAGCTTTGGAAGGAAAGAGATACAATACCAATAAAAGTGTGATTATGCACACATGCAGGGGTTAGGGCACGGAGGCAGAATAAAAAAAAATATTACTTAGAACAAGTGAAAGCAAAGAAAATAAATTTGATTTACAATCATATCACCAAGAGTTTATACTGGGTATATTTTTATATTTTTGAATTATGAACCATGTGAATATATTACCTATTAAAATTTAAAATGAATAAGAAAAAACTGAGCAATGAGGCACAATTCCTTTGAGGGAGAAGGGAAGTTGCTGAGAAAAGATTCTGATTCAAAGCTTGGCTGCTTGTGGAAGATTCTGAGGGACGGTGCAGAGGGAAGCCATGTAAAACAACTGTTTTTTTAATTGGTTAAAACAATTCTGTATAGAACTGAAATAGTCACTATTCAGGTATTCCTCACCTAATCAATACTTCATGATTCTAAAGCCTACTTGTACTGATCCATTTATTTCCCAGCTAGAACACAAACTTGCTGAGGGATGACAAGCCTTCCCCAGGGCCCCAAGCCTAAATGATTTTCCCTTCTACTATGCCCCAGTGACACTGATACTCCCACCATCATCAAAGCACTCAACATGTTGTCTTAGAGACAGTTATCATTTGCCACATGCCACCCCCACTGAACAGGGTCACTCCTAGAGAGCAGGAATTTTGTCAAAATCAACTTTATAACCCCAACATCTGGACTGAGGCTTTTCATTTGATAGAAATTAATAAGAAGTCTATCATAGTGGATTTAAAGGCTTATCAGCCAGGTGTCACCCTTCCTGAGGACCTACAGAGTGTATGATTCCTTAAGATATTTTATTGTACATTGTACTAGTGCAAATGTTCAGGCTTCAAAAGTTTAAGAATGAGGATGGAGGATCTATATCCTACCAGCAAACAGAGCCCTTCTTGAGCAATGATTTAGGTCCCAGAAGGCTGAAATATGTCAGAGCTCAGAATACTGATACTGTTTAATACACCAACAATTACTTTGGTTTAAGACCTATTCTATAAAATGTCCATGCTATACACAACAGAGTACTATGCAAAAGTAACAACTATCAGACAACCTAAAAAAATCAAATAGCTAATATAAATATGCATTTTTTTTTAAAGAATACAACATTTTATGGTCTAGAGATGAAGCCCAGTGATTAAGCACCCCTGGGTTTAATCCCCAGTACTTCCCACCAAAAAAAAAAAAAAAAAGAATACAACATTTTGCAAAAGAAAGAAAAGGCAGGTGAATGTGGGAAAGGGAATCAGAATAAATCCAAAACCAAACTTCTGGCTTCTAATTGGTTAGCAAGTTGGAATTTTGGTTGAGAATGTTCCTACGTAAGAGGCACAAAATCTGCCCCTTCCTGTTAAGTTAGATCCAATTCTCTTAATAAGGAGCTGTCTTGCTTACATGGACCAATGTAGCATATGTCAGAGAGTGCCACTCAGAAGGAAAGACCCAGAAAATTAACAATGAGTAACCATGGAAACTGAGAGGTGAGGTGATTTTTATTTTCTGTTTTGCACTTTTCTGCATTTGTGAGAAACAAGAATATGTTAGTTTGGGGCTGGGATTGTGGCTCAGCAGTAGAGTGCTCGCCTAGCACATGGGAGGCCCTGGGTTCGATCCTCAGCACCACATAAAAATAATAAATAAATAAAATAAAGATATTGTGTCCAGTTACAACCAAAAATATAAATATTATATATATATATATGTGTGTGTGTGTGTGTGTGTGTGTGTGTGTGTGTGTGTGTGTTTGTGTGTGTGTGTTAGTTTAAAAATTAGGGAAAAAAATAAACCTACAAAGAATTACTATTCCAAGTTATAGGAAAAGATTAGTTTCCCTCAAGAGAAATCTTCAGAGAGCAGCAGACAGTGGGGTGGGGGTGGGGAGGCTCAAGCCAGAGACTATCAGGGGCTCAAGACTATCCCTATTCCAGTCATCCATTATCTCCCATGTGAGGAGAGAGATGCAGTCTGCAAAATGTGCCCACATGCTAAAGAACTGTGCTTCCAAAGGTTCAGATTCAATTCTCTCAGTTGCTTCTGTGGCTTCAACCTACACTGCTTAGTACAGAAAGAGATGGTACCAGCAATGTGGACAGCTCCCTGAGTACAGCCCTGAAGTTGCTTTGGGGCAGCCCAGGGATCCAAGGTCCTGACTCATCAGAAGCTACAATGTTAAATCAGTTCTTATCGTTTCACCAACTATATAGACATTCATACACCTAACTATGAAAAGGCTGAAAAACTTGGTATCCTTCTCTATGGACAGCATGCCTTGGTCTAGCTCAAGGAAGTCACCAGGCTGTTAAAATTTGCTTGAGGAGCCAACAATGAACAATGGAACGGTTTTAATTCCATCCCTGGGTACGAAAGATTTCTGCCACTTTTGAATCTCTGAAAGAGATCTCATTTTCTTTTATCTTCATAAATCTTTGAGCAAAAAAAAAACACAGAACCAAATTTGAATGACAGGCTCACTAGGCAAATCAGTGGTGACTCTGGTTGGAAAATTCCAGCATCAGACTCTGGCACAAGATCTTTCTACACCATTCCCCCTCCCAAGGTGCTAGTTATTGTACACTGTCCTTTCCAGGTTCTCAGAGTGAGGATGAAGACAGCTAAAACATCCCCTACTAGGTAATTCCCTGTGAGATCAAGAAGTGTGCTGGAAAAGAAAATAAACCTTATTTCTCTTTTATTCACGTGACATATAAAAACCAGCATTTAGGGCTGGGGATGTAGCTCAGTGGGTGAGCGTATACCTAACACGTACGTTGGCCCTGGGTTCAATCTACAGTACCGCAAACCAAAACAAGTGACAACAACAAATCCAGTTAGTAGGTTGACATGATTTAAGAGAAAGTCTGTAGATTAGCCCTAATTTCCACAGACTGCCAGAGTCACTATTTATTTTTACCCCTGGGCTTTTGGGACCACTCTCTTCAGATGAAAAGGAAACAACTATCATAGCTGGAGTAGGAATTCAAGAGGTTTGCCTTCCCAAGATTGGAAAGAATTTAGCAGCACTGAGCTGACAATTTTGTAATGAGGACATAAATTAAAAGGAATAATAAGGTCAGTCTATTAAAATCATTAGTTTCATTAAGAACTTGCCAAAGCTGGGTGACATTTCCATTTACCTCCCTAGGAGTTCCCTTTCTAAAACCTACCAGAGCCCAAAACATTATTTAGCGTTTTCATTTAAGATTTCTTCTCTACCTGATAGAAATCATTAAGTCATTTTAGAGAAGAAATGTTCACTTTACAGAGGAACCAGAGGTTTCCCAGCTGTTGGCACAATTGTTCACATGGTGATAGAGGAGTAGGGCAAACATGCCACGATTAAAAATGACAATGTAGCTCCAACCACTAGTGGCCAAGGTGAGCAGCATACAGATATAGAAGAATAAATTATGAATTTTAATAAACACCCTGCCTAACAATTGCTGAAGAATACCTACGTCATTCCTGTTTAAAGACTCAATTTCTCCTTCATTCCAAATAAATGGTAACTCGTTAGAGCAATTTAAACAGATACCAATAAAGGAAGTTTTTGATTAAGGTCATGAATCTGGTCTGACAGGAAAGGAATGGTGTCTCAGGGCAAACAGCCTATTTAGGAAAGAATTAAACCTGGCAGAGGGGAAGGTACTTTTAATGTGGTGTTGGTGAAGGAGATTTGCAACTTCCATAAGAACTTGCTGCAAGAGAACCAGGAGCCCGCTGGGAGCCCAGCAGCTTGGGAAGCTGAGGCAGGAGGATTGAGAGTTCAAAGCCAGCCTCAACAACTTAGCAAGACCTTCAGCAACTTAGTGAGATGCTGTCTCTAAAATTATTTTTTTTAAAAAAAACAAGAACTAGGAGCCCACACTAGATGCACAGCTAAGGACAGAAGGAAATTTTCTTGGACTCAAGACCACAGTTTCTCCAGTTTGTGAGAAACAAACAAAAAGAACACAATGGCCTCATTGGCCTCCCCTTACTTCAAAGGTTATTTGACTGCAAATTTCCAATTTATTTACACTTGAAAATGCCTTCAAACTCCTCTTAGAATACTCAAAAGAACTCTATGCCACCGTGCCCATGACAACATCAACCTTCTTTTTCTTTACACTAGCCAAATGTCAAGTTCCTGAGTTGGTAACACAACTAACTTGTGAATAATGAAAAACAAACACATTGATTAAACTAATAGACCTACTCATCATTAATGATTAATGATCACAGTGATCTAGCAAAGGAAGGAAAAACAAGGCCCAGATGGACAGAAATAGTAAATACTAGTTTTTTTGTTTTTCTAATTGTCCTCCCTAAGGAACATTTTTTGATCATCTATTTGAATAGTGTGTGCAGGCAGAATTGGATGGAGGAAATGGAAATGCCCCTGCTTTAATCAATGACTTGAATAGAAAAGCCACACCTGCATCTCAGCATATAGGTAATTTCTGGTGAGACAGCACACTCCCCAAGGACTCCTAGAAGGAGCTGATATAGAACACAGATGATATAAATGCAAAGCGCTTAGAGAAATGATCTGCAAACTGGAGGAGAGATAGGCAAAATCAAAGATGTGAAGAATTTTAAGCTTCTTGAAAAAGCTTAAAATAACCAATCTTTTTACCTTTTATCAATTATATTCAGTAAATATTTACTTAGCATTCACTTTATGCCAGGCATGGCAGAGAAGGGCATAGAGACAGCAATTTTGCTAACTCTAGTGCTAAACACACACACACACACACACACATACACACACACATCTTGTTGGTGCAGAATAGTGGGATTCATTGTGACAGATTCTTACATACAATAACTTGATTAAATTCATTCTCCAGTACCTCCTTTTTCCCTCCCTTCCTAGTCCTAAGTTTTTGTGTCAATGTGGAGCTCCTCTTACTTAATGAAAGTTAACCTGGGGAAATCTGCCTCTGCCTCCTGTCTCACTTTCTGCAAATGAAAAAGACCAAGTGGCCTTTGGTCAGATACATACAATGAACTGGCCACCTCTGAATTTCCATTCTGAACACATAAAAGCAATAGGCAATCCTGACTGAGTCACATGATGCTAATTCCAGAAAAGGTTAAAGCTATTTGATAAAATTAAAGGGAATATGTATGTGTACGGTGGGGCTGGGGTGTGAGGGTGGGCAGTTCTTAATTCACAGTCACATTTCTTACAGGCTTAAAATTTAAATCAGACTTGTAGACAAGTTGCCTTAAAGGATTTTTAACATTACATTCTCACCTTACTTTACCTGAAAGTTCTTTCCTTAATTCAAGGATGTTACTTGAGAGCAAATGTCTCCCAAGAGTCACTTAGAACTAGACACCTACTCTACCTGAATATCACTTATTCCCCAGACATGCTATCCCTTTTTCCCTTGTGGGCTCTCTCCCAATTCCACAGAGCCCTATCTTCACGAAACTGCTCAAATCCCAGATAGGAAGCAAAATCCCCTTTCCTTAATAGTTCCTAAAAATAATGTCCTCAATATGCTTTTGTCTTCCCACTTAGGAGCCCCAATTACATACAGATTTTCTCACCCAGCTTGGAATCCACCATTACCTCTTTTTTTAAAATAGGTTTTGAGATCACAAGCTCAAGTGATCCTTCTGCCTCAGCCTCTGAAAGTAGCCATGTAGTAGACATGCACTACAATATCCAGCTCCACTGTGAATAAAACCTCGGACAGGCACACGCACCTCCACACTCAAGGCCTGTAAGAGTCTCTTATCCAACCTGAACCATAGCTGCACCAAATGTTCCATGAGCAGTACCACCTGTCAAGCCTTTCTCTGAACTAGCTCCCCAGTAACAGCTGATAAGTAACTGCCCTTCAATGAGCTTACCACTTGTGAATAAACTATTTCCCACCCTCTCAGTCATCAGTCTGTTACCAAGTTTCATTCCAGTTTGTCAGTGATCCAACAAAGGATAAAAAACGCAAGCCTGCTGGTGTACTGGGTTGAACAGAGTATCCTTCCCCAAAATTGTGTCACCTGGAGCCTGTGAATGTGACTTATTTGGAAACAGGGCCTCTGCAGATGCAATAAGTTAAGATGAAATAATTCTAGATGAGGGTGGGTCCTAATCCAATAACTGATTTATAAGAAGAGGGAAATTTAAAAAAAAAAAAAAAAAAGAAGGAGGAGGAGGAGGAGGAAAAGGAGAAGGAGAAGAAGAAGAAGAGGGAAATTTGCCTGCACAGCATACACCTATATTCCCCTCTACCCAGGAGACTAAGGCAGGACACCTGGTATTTGAAGCAAATTCCTAGACACTTTATGATTTCTCAGACAGCATCTGTGGACACTGTTAATGTCTACAACCCTGAAAAGCAGGCAAAGGAAAATGATAATTTCAACCAGACCTGTGAAATCCTTTGAGCTTTATGTCAAAGTTTGAGGCCAGACTCAGCAACTTACACCCTGTCTCAAAAAAATAAAAAAGGGTTGGGGAGATAGCTCAGTGATAAGAGTGTCCTTGAGTTCAATCCCTAGTACCTTAAAAAAAAAAAAAAAGGAAGGAGGAGGAGGGAAATTTGTACACAGATACAGAAGGAAGGTAAAGGCAGACACTGGAATTAAGCTGCCCAACCCAAGCTAAGAAACACCAAGGGTTGCCAACGACCATCAAAAACAAGATGGAAAAAGAGTCTTCCCAAGACCCTTCCAAGGGATCTTGTGGCCCTGTTGACACCTAGTTTGATTTGATGTCTAGTTTCCAGAAATGTGGGAAAAATATAAATTTGTTTCTTTAAGCAACCCTAGTGTGTGATGCTTTGTCACAGCAGTCTTAAAAAACAAATACAGCTGGCAAGTCAAAATTAATGTGAATTAGCTGCTTCTAATTGCCTAGTATTTGAAGCAAACTCCTAGACACTTTATAATTTCTCAGACAGCATCTGTGGAAACTGTTAATGTCTACAACCCTTAAAAGCAGGCAAAAAAAAAAAAAAAAATGATAATTTCAACCAGACCTGTGAAATCCTTTGAGCTTAATGTCAAATACGCTGATGTTCCACTATCACTGGGTGCCTCTGCCTGCAACTGCTGAAGGAATTGAGAACTATGTGCAAAAGCCTGAGAATTAGACCAGACGACAGCACCAAAGAGCCCTCCTCCTCTACAAGAACCCCAGGATCTGCTCACCACTTCTAACTGGTTTAAAGAAGCAAAAGAGTGCCACCTACTGAAGGACCAGCATCAAAACTAAGGAACTTCTGGGGAAAAAAATCCAATTTTTAATTTAAAACAAGTTTAACTTCTTTTAGTAGAAGAATGGCAGAATGGAAAAGTCTCCATGGCCAACATCTTTCTGTAGAATTTGCTTATTTTTCCCCAAAGGATGTTGGACTATATTCTGCTGAATCCAAGCACCAGAGATTCAAATAACCAGATGGCCAGTGGCCTCAGACCATACAGGCAAGCATACCTTTTGCTGCATGATTGACAGAGGAGGGAGGTTCATCGTCTGATGTAGAGCTGAGGTTCAGGGCAAGCTCTGCAACTCTTTTTTTCTGTTTCTTGATGGGGGCATTGCATTCTGGGAGAGTTCTCTTCATTGTTACTGCAACCATAAATACAGACAGTCAGCTGCCCTTGGGTTAGAGCCAGTGGGATCAGAGCAAGGATTCCAAAGTATAAATCATCAATGAGATGAGATTTGGCAACTTCAAATATCCTTCAGTGCCAGCACTTGAATAGCTTCTTCCTCAGAATGCAGTCTAGGAAGGATGCTAGCCAAGCTCTGGTTTTCAATAATAGCTATTAGTTTTACTGAAAAATGTGGTGCTCACAGATGCATAGGTCCCTGGACCACTGGTGTCAGATACCAAAAAGAAATGAATAAACTCCATAAGACACAGGGGGGAAAAGGCCTTGGGCAATTGTTATTCTATACTTCTGATACAACATTGGCTATGTACACTGGAAATGAATTATAACTAAATATTAACCAAAATTCCAAGATGAAGGGACCATCCCAGAATGATTATTTCATAATAATTATTATTTCACCAAAATAATTATGATTATATAGCATGATACAAATACTGGGTTTTGGTTTATTTCATAATGTTTAAAAAAAATGAAAGAACTAGGAAATTTTTTTATTATTTTATTATTTTTTATTTATTTATTTATTTATTTGGTACCAGGGATTGAACTCAGAGGCACTCAACCACTAAGCCAATCCCCAGCCCTATTTTGTATTTTATTTAGAGACAAGGTTTCACTTGAGTTGCTTGGTGCCTCACTGTTGCTGAGGCTGTCTTCAAACTCTTGATCCTCCTGTCTCAGCCTCCCAAGCTGCTGGGATTACAAGCGTGCGCCAACGTGCCCAGCAAAAACTGGGAAAAATTTTAACCAAAGTAAGGAGTGGGAACAATGATTGTCTTACAATGGAGGAAACACAAGAGTGGGAAAGATAATGAGACTGGAGGTAGCTATATCATTGGAGTGAGATACAAAAATTGTAACTTTAAAAATAGGAACCCATCTCCACAAAAAAAAAAAAAAAAGTATGGAAAGAAGCAAGCTCCATGTCACCATCTTCCATGCCCATGGGTACATGAGAGGTAAGCATGAGGGGGAAAATGGGATTGAATGAAGTGCTTGTGAAACCCCCGATATCTTAAGGAAAAGTAGCGGATACAGTCTGGGTTACAAACAATTAACTGGTTGAACTTGGAAATGAGAAAGAACTCAAAACAGAAACAAACCGGATAGATGACCAGTGGGGCTGCAATCTTTGGGAAAGGGAAGCTGCAGGGGTACAAGACTGGACTTACAGCATGGGTCACAGAGACCACAGCAAGAAAGCAATGAAATGCCACAAATGCCACTGAACCCAGCAACTTCACCCAGCAACCTCACTAAACCCTGGATAATATGTTTCCCTTCTCTTCAGCTCAAGGATAAGCCAATCAACCCAATGCATAATCACATCTTTCCTAAGGAGGCAGCCTTTTAACTGGCATAGAAAGAGCCTAGCCTGGGGAAACAAGAACAGCAGCCCGAGCAAACAGAAAGCAAGCCCAGGCTGTGACACGTTTCATTTTAAACCACTCTTTCAGCCTTCTACAAAGGCCCACAAGGTGAGCTACAGGAAAGCCCATCACAGGGCCTGCTACTAGCTGCAGCAAAGGTAAAAAGACTCGGAAGCACGGGAAACTGGGTGTGCTGTGTTGGGGTAGGTGCAGGAAAGAGAGGAAACTGTGTGAAAGGTGGCAGAGGCTGATGGTACTCCTCAAATCACACCACCTTATATTTGGGCCTTCCAAGTCACCTAATCCAACCCTTTGGTTTTCCACTGTTAAAGACTGAGGCCCAAAAGGAGAAGGCCACATATCTAACCAGTGCCCAGTTCAAGTGACCTACACTTGAAAAATGTGCTCTGGACAGGAACTTCCAACTGGATGCAGGAGACTTGCTTCTACCTGCGGCCTCCCCCACCTTAGGGCTTCAAATCCCCGCTGTGGTCTTGTCTCCCTGGGCCTCGGTCTCGCACTGCCACCCCTATTCACAGAGGAAGAGCTGAGCTCCCGTCTCCCCAGGCCAGTCCTTCCATTTGAAGATAACGTTGAGTGTGTAAATATGTGCGCAGAGACTTGTGTCAGTGGCAGCTCGGGCTCCAGGAGGTTGCTGGGGAGGAGGGGAAGGGGGAGGAGAGAGAAGCGGCCAGAAGGCTGAGAGTCACAAGCGCGGGTGGGGGCCGAGGCGGCAGTGGAGGGAGAAGGATGCTGAGCCCGCGCGCCCGCCCGCTCGCTCCCCCCGGGCCGCGCGTCCGCACTCACGCAGAGGGGAGAGGGCGAGCTGCCAGGGAGCGGAGAGCGGGGATCAGGCCGACGTATCGCCGCCGCCGCCGGGCCTGGACCTGCCACAGCCAGAGCCTCCACCTCCTCCCTCAGTTTCGTTTCCCCACAAGCCAGCCCTGGTCCGCCGGCCGCGCGGTCGCGCTCGGGTCCCGCCCTGCGAGCCGCGCAGCTTAATGACGTCACGGGACAACCGGCCCCGCCCCCCAACAGGTCCCTTCTTGGCCTTGCGAAAGGCCGCTCGGGTTCTGGCCCGCCCCGCCCCGCCCCCAGCCTGGTTGCAGGGCGCCTGCGCAGGAGAACAGCCCGGGGAGGGCCGGGAGAGAAACCAATGAGTGTCCGAGGGGCCTGCACGTTTCTTAATCTTCCCTAATCTCATTATCATCTTCACAGATTAAGAGCAAAGTCAGAAGCTGTAGAGTGGTTGAGGGCAAGAACCCAGTGTTCCTGTTCTCTGCTGTGTCCCCAACAGAGTATGAGACACATTCAACAGATGTTGAAGGAAGGGCAGTGGGCTGGGGTGTAGGCCACTTGGGTACTTGCATAGCATTCGTGAGGCCCTGGTCTGATCCCCAGCACCGAAGTGGGGGTGGAGGAGGAGTGAAGGAATGCTGTCTATAGCATCTTACTATGTGGACACAGATGGCTCTCATCCCAAAACCACTTTTCCCACATTTAGACTAACGTAACCCAAAGTCTGTTGGACATTCTCAGTCACCTCAATCATCCTAAATCTTGTAAATTTAAATTTCACCGTATGTTCTTTTCCCATATGTCCGCTTTTTTCCCCCAGTGAATGGCATTACGATCCTGTTCATTCAACCACAAATCTGAGAAAGTCTCCCTCTTGCTCATTCCCTAGAGCCTACAATACATTTAATTGAGTTTACCTCCTAATTGTCTCCCACATTTATCTGCCCTCTCCTCTATCACCACAATTCATGTGTTCACTCTCAGCAGAATTTTTACAGTAAACTCCAGTTCATCATGTCTGATGCCAGTTGTGATCCTCTTAATGCAATCTCCACAAAACTAAAGTTGTACACACATGCATATACACAAATATGTATGACAGTGATTAAATCTTGTCAACGACTCCCCACTTTTATTAAGATGAAGCTGATATCCTGAAGACGGCCTATAAGAACCTCTGGTTTAATAGAAGGGTCTGCAGTTAGTTGTACGTTGTACTTCTGGTCTTTTTGTTCCATCCTGGTCCCATCCTGATCTTTTCTCAGTGTCTCAATAGGTCATGTTTCTTATGAGTCCATTTCCCTGTCTGGATCACTACTTTTCCCCTAAAGTAGTGATCCAGATACAGGCTAATGTCCACTTATCCCTCAGGTTTCAGCTTAGTGTCCTAATTTCTGGAAACTTTTCCTGACCCAAGTCTACTTCAGGAGCACCACCTTTCAGCTTCCATAGAGCTCTGTCTTCCATCATCAAAGCACTTATCACAGTGTTATATAGTAGAGTGTTGACTCCTCTGCCTTTCCCACTCTGTTGTAAACTGCAAGGGAAAGGTTATGTCCTTCTATAATAAATCCTCAAGGGTTAACACAGTGGCCTGTGTAATAGACATTTATTGAATCTGAGTTTGGAAAATGAATGATGTACCCAAGGTCATAGAGCTAGGAAATAGGAAACAAGTGATCGTTTAACACAGGTCTCTGTGGTTCTAAAGCTGAATGTCTTTGCATCTCACTCTAAAATTCTTAATACCTATTTAATGGCAAGGATGTCTCTGGTAATCTTGCTATGGACCCATCTTCAAAATACTAATCCAAAGGGCATAAGGTAAAAGGGATTACAAAGGAAATGAAAAATTGTACTGAAAAAGTTAACATACCTAACAAATTTAGTAATTTATTTGAATGTGGTTGTATAGCATTGAATGCAATCAAAATATAGGCAAGGTAAGTGACACTTTATTTTTTAATATATATGACTATAACCAAATAGTGTTGGAACAACCAGATGAACATATAGGGAAACATGATCCTTTATTCTTACCTTATTCCATATGCAAAATTAAATCAAGATGGATCATAGACCAAAACATAAAATCCAAAATGGGACTGGGCATGTATCTCAGTGGTAAAGAACTTGCCAAGCATGCATAAAGCCCTGAGTTTGATCCCTAGCATCACACACACACACACACACAAAAAAAAAAAAAAACTCAAAATAATAAAGTTTATAAAAGAAAACATAGGAAAGTATCTTTGCAGGCCTAGGACAAAGTTTGTTTGTTTGTTTGTTTGTTTTATGTTTTTGTTTTTACATGGGTCTTAGAGAGTGTAAATCAGAAGGGAAAAAATGATAAAATGGGTTTTGATAAAATAAAAGTCTTCTACTCATCAAAAGGCATTGTTAAGAAATTGAAACAGCAAACCACAGAGAAAAGCATTCATATATAACAAATACTTGTCACATATGACAAATAACTTATTTCCAAAAATATATGTAATACCCAAAAATAAAAAGAAACTTCTATAGAAGTTTCCAATTCCTGTCAAAATGAAGAAGGCACATCCTCTCCTGTTTCTCCCACTGAATGTAATTTAAAACCTCAAACAGAATGAAAGGAATATCTGAGGATTCTAAAAAGTAAATGGCAGAAAGAGTATGGGGAAGGAAATCAGAAGTTGAAAATCACCAAATCAAGGATGAATTTCCCAATGTTCCCCATTCTGTTTCTCTCTCATCCTGTACTGAAAGGCAGCTGAAGATGTGTATATTTTGTACAACAAAGTGAATATAATTCATACCATTAAACTGTATATTTAAAACTATGCTGGAGTGTAGCTTTTGCCCACTATGTGCAAAGTCCTGGGTTTGATCCCCAGTACCCAGTGGGGAAAAAGTTTAAAATGGTAAATTTTATACATTTTATAACAATTAAAAGAACAACTATAGAAAATCTAGAGAAGTAATAGATGAATTTCTGGATGGATATGACTAATCTAAATTGAGCCAACAAGATATTTTTTAAAACCAAAATAGATCAATAACAGGTGATGAGACTGAAGAAGAAATAAAAACTCTCCCAACAAAGAAAAGCACAGGAGTTGATGAACTTATGCTGAACTTTACCAGATATTTAAAAAACTAACATCAAAAGACCTCAAACTAAGCCAGGCACAATAGTGCACACCTGTCATCCCAGCAGCTCAGGAGGCTGAGGCAGGAGGATCACGAGTTCAAAGCCAGCCTCAGCAAAAAGAGGCGTTAAGCAACTCAGTGAGACCCTGTCTCTAAATAAAATACAAAATAGGGCTGAGGATGTGACTCAGTGCTCAGTGCCTCTGAGTTGAATCCCCAGTGCCAAAACAAAACAACAAATAAACAAAACCCTCAAATTATTCCAAAAAAAAAAAATAGAATGGGAAGTAGCCCTTTCAAACTCATTTTAGGAAGCCAGTATTAGTCCTTACCAAACCAGATAAGGACTCAACAAAAAAAGAATACCATAGGCCAATATTCCAGAAGAACATAGATGCAAAAATCCTCAATAAAGTACTTGCAAATTGAATTCAACAGCACATTAAAAAAATAACACACCATAATCAGGTTGGTTTAATTCAAGGGAGGCAAGGATGATTCAGCATACACAAATCAATAAATGTAATATAGCACATAAATAGAATCAAGGGAAAAATCACATGATCATCTTGAAAGATAAAGAAAGAAAACCTTTGATAAAATCCAACATCCCTTCAAGATAAAAACCCTGAATAAAACCAGGGATGGTGTGCACATCTATAATCCCAGCTACTCAGGAAGGAGGTGGACACAGTAGGATCTCAAGTTTGAGGGTAGTTCAAGCAACTTAGTGAGACCCCACGTCGAAATAAAATTAAAAGGGCTGGGATATAATTCAATTTGTCAGGCCCTCAAAAAAAACCTGAATAAATTAAATACAGAAGGATCATACCTCAACATAATAAAGGCTACATATGAACATATGGCAAACCCATAGCCAACATCATAGTGAATAGGAAAAAACTGAAAGCATTTCCTCTAAGATCAGAAACAAGACAAGGGTGACCATACCTACTATTCTTATTAAATATAATAATAGAGCCTTGTGCAGTGGTGCATGCCTGTAATCCCAGCAGCTTGGGAGCCTGAGACAGGAGGATCACAAGTTCAAAGCCAGTCTCAGTAACTTATCAAGGTCCTAAGCAACTTAGCAAGACCCTGTCTCAAAAATTAAGGGGCTGGGGATATGTCTCAGTTGGTAAAGTGCTTGCTTTGCATGCATAAGACTCTGGGTTCCATCACCAGCACAACAAAAAAATAAAATAAAAATAAATAAAAAATAAAAAGAGATGTGGCTCAGTGGTTAAGCATCATTGGATTCATAGCCTGGTACCAATAATAATAATACTAGGAATTTTACCCAGAGCAATTAGGCAAAAGAAACAAATAAAAGGAATTCAAATAGGAAAGGAGGAAGTCAAATTATCCCTGCTTACTTATATGATTCTATATGTAGAAAACCCTAAAAACAATTACAGAAGAGATGAAAAGTCGTTCTTTTGAACATAGAACTAGAAAACAATAAAGCATCAGCATGTAAAATCAACATATGAGCATCAGATCTGCTATAAACTAATAACAGAGAAGCAATTCCATTCACAATAGCCTCAACAACAACAACCACCCCTAGGAATAACCTAATTAGTGGGGTTATCAGGACCTCTACAACGAAAATTACAAACCACTGAAGAAAGAAAATGAAAAATAAGGTGGAAAGACCTCCCATGTTCATGGATTGGGAGTATAATATTGCTAAAATGGCCCTACTACCCAAAGAAATGCACAGATTTGGTGCAGTCCCTATCAAAATACCAATGACTTTCTTCACAGAACTGGGGGACAGGGATTATAAATTCTTATGAAAAACAAAAGACCCTGAATAGCCAAATCAATCCTGAGCAAAAAATAAAATGCTAGGGGCATCACAATACCTGATTTCAAAACGTACTACAGAGCCATCACAACAAAAGTAGCATGGCATTGGCATAAAAAGAGACACATAGACCAAAAGAATAGAAATAAATTCACAGGGGGCTGGGTGGGGTCATAGCTCCATGGTAGAGCGCTTGCCTAGCATGTGTGAGGTACTGGGTTCAATTCTCAGCACCACATAAAAATAAATAATAAAAAATAAACTAAAAATAAAAATTTTAAAAAAGAAAGAAATTCACAGGGTTTACAGCCCACTGATTCTCAACAAAGGTACAAAAACGTACACTGGAGAAAAGACACCTCTTCCACAAATGGTGCTGGGCAAACTGGAAATCTACATGGAGAAGACTGAAACTAGATTCTTCACGTCCTGTGCAAACATCAACTCAAAGTGGATCAAAGACCTACTTAAGACTTGACACTTTCAAACTAGTTGGGGGGAAACACTCCAAGACGTTGGCACAGGCAACAATTTCCTGAATAGGAAACAAAAGCTAGAATTGGCAAATGGATTACATGAAATTAAAAAGTCTCTCTACACCAAAGGAAACAATCAACAGGGTGAAGAGACAACCCACAGAATGGGAGAAAATCTTTGCAATCGATTCATCTGACAGAGGATTGATATCCAGAATACATAAAGAACTCAAAAAAAAAAAAAGAATAAGTCATTCAATCAAAAATTGGCAAATGATCTGGCTGTGGTGACTCACGCCTGTAATCCCAGCAACTCAGGAGGCTGAGACAGGAGGATCACATGTTCAAAGCTAGATTCAGCAACTTAGTGAGGCTCTGTCTCAAAATAAAAAAATTAAAAGGACTAGGGTTGTGGCTCAGTGGTTAAGCATCCCTTGGTTCAATCCTTGGTAGCCTCACCACCACCAAAAAAGAAAAGAAAAGAAAAAATGGGCAAATTATATGACAATTATTTCTCAAAAAAAAAAAAAAGAAAGAAAAGAAAAAGAAAAAGAAAGAAAGAAAGAAACATAGATGGTCAATAAATATATGAGAAATGCTCAATATCATCAGCCATCAGAGAAATGTAAATCAAAGTTACATTGATATTCTTTCTCACCTCAGTCAGATGGATATTATCAAAAAAATTAAAATAAAAAATAAATAAATACTGGTGAGGATGTGGAGAAAAAAGAATCCTTATACAACATTCATAGTAATGTAAATTAATACAGCTTCTATGATAACATAGGATGAAGTTTTCCTCAAAAAAAACTAAAAATAGAAGTACCATGTGATCCAGCTACACCAATACCTGGGTATTTTTCTAAAGGAAATGAAGTCAGCATACAAAAGAGATAATTGCATGCTCATGATTGTTGCAGCACTAGTCACAATAACTAAGATTTAGAATCAGCCAGGTGCCCATCAAGAGATAATAGATAAAGGAAATACGGTACATATAAACAATGGAGTATTATTCAGCCAAAAAGGAGGATGACCCAGGGCTGGGGACATAGCTCAGTTGGGTAGAGTGCTTGCCTCACATGCACAAGGCCATGGCTTCAATCCTCAGCACCACACACACACAAAAAAAAAAAAAAAGAGGGGGAGGAGGAGGAGGAGTAGCAGCAGCAGCAGCCTCCAGGCAAAGTGTACACGGCCTGTAATCCCAGCGATTTGGGAAGTCCAGGAAGGAGGATCACAAGTGCAAGCACAGCTTCAGCAACTTAGCAAGACCCTTCCTTGCTCAAGATAAAAAATAATTCAGCATACTATAGTAACATAGCCACACCAATGCTTATCGCAGCTGAATTCACAATAGCTAAACTGTGGAACCAATCTAGGTGCCCATCAATAGATGAATGGAGGGCTGGGGATGTGGCTCAAGCGGTAGCGCGCTCACCTGGCATGTGCAGGGCGCTGGGTTCGATCCTCAACACCACATAAAAATAAAATAAAGATGTTGTGTCCACCGAAAACTAAAAAATAAATATTAAAAAATTCTCTCTCTCTCTTAAAAAAAAATAGATGAATGGAAGTTGGAGTTGTGGCTCAGCTGTAGAGCACTCACCTAGCAAGTGTGAGGTCCTGGGTCTATCCTCAGCACCACATAAAAAATAAATAAAATGAAGGTATTTAAAAAGATGTAAGCATAATATATTATTAAAAAATAGATGAATGGATAAAGAAATTGTAGTACATATACAATGGAATATTACTCAGCATTAAAAGAGAATAAAATTATGGCATTTGCAGGTAAGTGGTTGTAGCTGGAGAATATCATACTAAGTGAAGTAAGCCAATCCCAAAAAACTAAAGAGAACAAATAAAATTTTTTTTAAAAAAAGAGAGAGAAAATAATGAGGGCTGAGAATGTGGCTCAGTAATAGAATGCCCCCAGGTTCAATCCCCAGTACAAGAAAGAAAGGAGGAGACATGAGGTTGTGGCTCAGTGTTAGAGCACTTGCCTAGCTGGTAAGGCACTGGGTTCAATTCTCAGGCTGGGGTTGTGGCTCAGTGGTAGTGCACTTGCCTGGCATGTGTGAGGCACTGGGTTTGATTCTCAACACTACATATAAATAAGTAAATAAAGGTCTATCAAAAATTTTTTTAAAAAAACATTTTAAAAATTAAAAAAAAAGTATTGTTGAAAAAAACTGAAATTAGTTACATTTAACAAAGTTTTAAGTAAGCAATAAAAGTTTCTCGAAGAGGGAGTATTCCAGACATAAGATGGTTCAGAATGCTTCCACTAACATGAAAAACAGAAAATGACATTACAAAGTTACACAACTGTTAAAGTTTCAAATTTCTCTTACAGGCATGTTGGTAGCCTTCATCCTGTGATTGGCTGAGATTCTGTTGCTTAGTTACCACAACATACTCTTGGGTTTGGTTAGGTGCTTTACACCTCAGGATAGGAAGGATGGGCTACAGTTCTCTCCTTTTCTATGTATGGAACAGCCTTACACCAAACTTTATGACCCAGTACAGACACAAGGTTAGGTGAAACTTGTCAAATTTACATTATACCACCTGAAAAACAGAAAAATATGAGAGAAAAAAAATAGAACCTCAGAAACCCAGGGAATAATACCAAAAGATCTAACACTCGTGTCATCAGAGCCCCACAAGACAGGGAGAAAGAAAAAATGAATATTTGGTGTAGGTAAACCAAACAAACAAACAACAACAACAAAAAACCTGATAAAATAATGGCTGAAAACATCCCCCCAAATAACAAAAGACATAAATGTATAGACTCAAGAAGCTCACCGATCCCCAAATGGCAAACACAAAGAAACCTACCCCCAATGCATGAAAATCAAACTGCTGAAAATTAAAGGGAAAAAATTCTGAGAAATAGCCAGTGAAAAGCTCTGCATCACATATAGAAAGAACAGTTGGAGGAACTGTGGATTTCACATCAGAAACCATGGAGGCCAAAAAGATAGTGGAACAAAAATTTAAAGTCACGAAAGAAAAGAACACTGAATCTGGAATTCTATATCCAGGGGAAATATCCTTCAGAAATGAGAGAAAAACTAAAGACATCCTCCGAGGAAGGAAAACTAGGAGAATTCATCATTTGCACACATTTTGTGAAATAAAGACTAAAGAAATTTATCCAGGCTGAAAAGCAACAATAACAGAGAAAACTAGAAATGTCACAAATGAAAGAAAAGTGAACAAACAGTAAATATATATATATATATATATATATATATATATATATATATATATATATATATACCTAAGTATAGATATAATGAATTTTTCTTTTAAGTTCTTAAAAACACACATGAGAGTTGAAAGCAAAACAAAACATGGTCCGAGGGGGTTTTCAGTAATATACAAATATAATATACAAGACAACCATAACTGAGATGGGGAAAGGCAAATGCACCAAGTGGTCAGGTTGCTACATTCCACTGAAAGTGAAAATTATTAATTCCAAATGCAATATGGAAAGTTAAGTATGTACATTATTATTTCCCGAACAATCTCTTAAAAACTATTCAGGAGGGGATAAGATTGTGGCTCAGTGGTAGAGCGATGGCCTAGCATGTGGGAGTCGCTGGGTTCGATCCTCAGCACCACATAAATACAAATTAATAAAATAGAGGTATTGTGTCCAACTACAACTAAAAACACTATCTAGGAGCCGGGCATTGTGGCACGTGCCTGTAATCCCGGTTACTAAAGAGTCTAAGGCAGGACGATAGCAAATTCAAGGCCAGTCTGGACAACTTAACTAGGCCCTGCCTCAAATTGTTTAAAAAGTGGGGAGGTGGGGCTGGGGATGCACCTCAGTCTTAGCGCACTGGCCCTGGGTTGCATCCTCAGTATTGCAAAAGAAACAAATAAAGCAAAAACAATTTGGGGAATGGCAGAGTTAGGACCTCTGAAAATATAATCCTCCATAAAAGCAATGCAAATACTTAGCAAAGCTATCAAAACAGAGGAGAGGATTCTGGGAAGATAGCCCAGTAGAAGCTCCCCACCTGGACAACGATTGAACTGCCAGGATCTTACTGATGGAACTATTATGGGAGTCTGGAGTCCACCAAGGGCTTGCAACAACTAGGAGTAGGCCCTTTAGCACATTAGCAACCACCCATCCCCCACCACTCAGCCAAGTGGCAGACGGCTGTGCACATGTTCCTGCGCAGCTTGCAAACAGCTTGCAGGACCCAGGGTAGCCCAAAAGGACCCATCCTCCACATACAGAGCATCTGTACTCTGATCATTGTGAGATCAATGTTCTCTTTTCTGTCAAAAGTTAAACCTTTAGTGCTCGCTTTGGCAGCACATATACTAAAATTGGACCAATACAGAGAAGATTATCATGGCCCCTGCACAACTATGACATGCAAATTCATGAAGCATTCCATATTTTTATGCCAAATGTTTTCTCTGATATAAGGAGGCTGATTCATAGTGGGATAGGAAGAGGGACCATGGGAGGAATAGAGGAACTCTAGATAGGGCAGAGGGGTTGGAGGGGAAGGGAGGGGCATGGGGTTAGAAATGATGGTGGAAAGTGATGGACATGAATATCCAAAGTACAGGTATGAAGACACAAATTGGTGTGAATATACTTTGTATACAACCAGAGAGATGAAAAATTGTGCTCTATATGTGTAATAAGAATTATAATGCATTCTGCTGTCATATTTGAATAAAATTTTTTAAAAAAATATGGTAAATACACTCAAGGAATACTATACAATTTTGAAAAATAAGAAACCTATGCTGTATGTGACAACACGAATGAATCTTCAGGACATTACACTAAATTAAATAAGTCAGTCACAGAAAGAAAAATATTGTATAATTTCTCTTACATGAGATATGTAAAAAAGTGAAGTTCACTGACTCAAAGACTGGAATGGTGAACAGGGCAGGGGAGAGAGGGCAAGAGGGAGTCACTAATCAATGGGGATGAAGTTTCAGTCGAGCAAGATGAATACGCTCTAAAGATTTGCTGTATAACACTTAAAAGCTGTTGAGGGTAGGTCTCGGGTTCGTATTCTTACAGAATAAAATGTAAAATAAAGTAAAATTTTTTTTAAAAGTTAAACCTTTAGTTTTTTGAGTTTCCTAATATGTAACAAAAATGTGTTTGCTGTCATCTAGAACCTAAATTTCATAGTGTGTAAGTAAGTGGAGCTATTTTTAATTTACAAAACCAAGTGGTCGCCATTTTGAGCCCCCCAACATTATCTCCCCTGGTCCTCAGCCTTCCCATCATAATGCCTATAGAGTGGTAGTTGATCAATGTAACTACAGCTCTCCCTTATGCCCTATTTTAAATTAGTTATGCAGATTGTAACCCCAAACTCCTCTTTTCAAAGCAAGGGGCAGTGCCGTATTAGGGATAAAAACGTGGGCAGATTTCCCACCCAGTGTGCTTGCTTGCCAGATTTTTTTGTAACACACCCTTCTGCAGCAGTTTGCCTTGATAAATGGCTTTTGAGAACAGGATTTCTTGAAGCACCTTGATATTTCCAACATCACTGATTGCTACTTCTGATAACAAAGGGACAGACAAGGAGGGGAGCAGCTATTGTTTGTTCCAAGCCTCTTCCGCTCAGCCTGAAGTGACCTCCAGGGAACTTAAAAGGCTAGTGCCTTTTTTATTTTCCCATTTTTGCCTAGTGTGGGAACCAAACGTTAAAGGCTAGGGAATTCTAGCTGGGTGTGGTGGTACATGCCTGTCATACCAGCAGCTCAAGAGGCTGATGGAGGAGGATCACGAGTTCAAAGTCAGCCTCAGCAACTTAGCAAGGCACTTAGTAACTCAGCAAGACCCTGTCTCTAACAAAATATAAAAAAAGGACTGGGGATTTAGCTCAGTGGTTAAGCACCCCCAGCTACTTAAAAAGACTACAGAATTCTATAGGAGTGGTAGTAAAAGCCTATAATCCTCAGCTATTGCAGAGGCTGAGGCAGGAGGATCACAAGTTCAAGGCCAGTTGAGCAACTGTAGACCCTGTCTCAAAATAAAATAAAAAAGGTTGGGGATGTACCTCAGTGGTAGAACTCTTGCCTGGCATGTATGAGTCCCTCAGTTTGATTCCCCATACCAAAAAATAAGAAAAATAAAGACTAAGAAATTAAAAACAAACAATTGCTTACATGGAAAAAATTTAAACATAACCAAGCATGCCCAGGGAAAGGTTCAGAAAAAAACTGATAACACCACAGGATGATTATTAGCACAGAGAGAGCCTACAATAGAACAAATAAGAACAGTTGCCAAATGACAGCAGACCCTGGGGTAGAAGGAGGATCTGCTTTCCAGAGTTCAAATGTCAAATTTTCAACAAAAATTCAAACAAAGGAACAGGAAAATATCCAAAGGAAAAAAAAATCAATACAAATCGTCCCTGAAAAAGATCTGATAACCAATGTTCTAGATAAAGACTTTAAACAACTGCCTTACAGACAGTAAAAGAACTAAAGAAAGATGAAGACAATATCAAGAAAATGATGTATGAATGAAATGGAAATATCAATAATGAGATAGAAAATCTTAAAAAAAAAAGAAAGAAAGAAATTCTGGAGCTAAAAATATAGTGACTGAAATGAAAAATTTACTAGAGGGGTTCATGCACAGATTTAAACAGGCAGAAAGAAGAATCAATAAACTTGAAGATAGGACCATGGAAATTATTGAGTCCTAGGAACAAAAAAGAAAAAGACTGAAGAAAAGTGAATAGAGCCCAAGGGATCCATGGGACACCATTAAGCAGAGCTATGCACCTGCAGGAGTGCCAGGAGGGCGAGAGACTATTAAAAGGAACAGTGGCTGGAAACTTCCCTAATTTGATGAATAGAAACATCCAAGAAACTTAAGAAAACCCCAAGTAACACGAACTCAAAAAGATGCATGCTGAGACACATTACAATCAAACTTTAAAAAGACAAAAAAGAGAATATCTTTGAGACAAGGTGGGGTGGGTCTCACTACTTACACCTCAAGTAATCCTCTGCTCATTCTCCCCAGAAGCCAGGAAGACAGGTTACATTCCCATGCTTGTCTCTTTTTGTTTTCAGTGCCAAGCGCTGAATCCAGGACCTTCTGCATTCGAGGAAAGCACTCTACCACGGAGCTACAACCCCTTCCCCCCCAAAAGGATCTTGAAAGCAGCAAGAAAGAAGTGACACATCTCATACAAAGGAACCTCAATAAGTAAGACCGATTTCTCATCAGAACCTTTGGATGCCAGAAAGCAGTGGGCCAATACATTTAAAATGCTAAAAGAAAAAAAAAATAGTGTCAATCAAGAATCTTTCAGCTGGGAAAACTGCCGGGCAACAGTAAGAGATAAATGAAGACCTTTCCAGAGGAGTAAAAGCTGAGGAAATCCGCCCTTCAAGACATGCTCAAGGGAGTCCTGCAAGGTAAAATCAAAGGACACTAGAGAGTGACTTGAAGCCATGTGAAGAAGAAAGATCTTGATAAAGATGAATACATGAAGCCAGGCATGGTGGCACGCACCTGTAATCCCAGCTACTCTGGGAGCTGATGCAAGAGGATTTCAAGTTCACGACCAGCCTGGGCAACACAGCAAGACTCTGTCTCAAAAGAAAAAGGACTGGGAATGTAGCTTAGTGGTAGACTGTCCCTAGGTTAAATCACCAGTGTCCAAAAAAGACAAATACACGGACAATTATAAAAGCTAGTATAATTCCAACAATAGTTTGTAACTTCACTTTTTGTTTTCTACATGATCTAAGAGACAAATACCTTAGATAAATCATTATTGGGCTGGGGTTGTGACTCAGTGGTAGAGTGCTTGCTTAGCATGTGTGCGGCCCTGGGTTTGATCCTCATCACCACATAAAAATAAATAAATAAATAAAATTAAGATTCTTAAAAAAGAATGCTTTTAAAAAAACAATTAGCCTACAAGCTGCTATTTTTTTATTTAAAATTCTACATTTTGTTTTTAATATGATTTAAGAGACTAATGCAATTGAAAGAATTATTAATTTATGTTTTGGGGCACACAATGTACAAAAATGCAATTTTATGAGGTGAACAATCAGAAGGTGTGGGAACAAAGCCTTTTGTATGTTATTGATGTAAAGCTGGTATAAATTCAAATTAGAGTGTTAACTTTAGGATGTTAAATATAATATACATGGTAACCACAAAAAATAGTTAAAGAATATACACAAAAGCAAATGAGAAAGGAGTTTCAATACAAATAATAATAATAATAATAATAAAACAAAAAAGAATATATTAGTACAGCAAGTGAAGTATGAAATAGCCATGAGGAATATATAAATCATATACAAAAATGACAAAATCTCTCCTTATGAGTAATTTTTTTTTGAGAGAGAGAATTCATTAATATTTATTTTTTAGTTTTCGGTGGTCACAACATCTTTGTTTTATTTTTATGTGGTGCTGATGATGGAACCCAGCCCCTGCGCATGCCAGGCAAGCGCGCTACCGCTTGAGCCACATCCTCAGCCCAGTAATTATTTTAAATGTAAATGAATTAAACTCTCCAATCAAAAGATAAAGATTAGCAGAATGGATTAAAATATGTGATCCAACTAGCTGCTTCTATAAGAGATGCATTTTGGGCCCAAAAACACAAATAGATTGAAAGGGGAAGAATGAGAAAAGATATACTATCAAACAGTAACCCAAAGAGAATAGGGGTGACAGTTCTACAATAATAGCTATAGACTGTAATGTAGACCTCAGTACCCCACCCTCAATACAGACCGAGTTGGGCATGGTGTCATCCACCTATAATCCCAGCTCCCGGAGAGGATGAGACACAACTCAAGGCTAGCCTCAGCAACTTAGAGAGACCCTGTCTCAAATTCAAAAATAAAAATAAAAAAGGACTAGGGATGTAGTTCAGTGGTAGAGCCCAGAGGTTCAATTCCCAGCAACACACACACATACACACACACGGAGAGAGAGAGAATAGAACAGAGAACAGAATACAACAGAACTTCAACATCAAAATAAGCCAACTAGATCTAACAGTCAGACAAAGAACACAAACAACAGCAGCATACATGTTTTTCTGAAGTGCAAATGGGATATCTTCCAGGATAAACCATATTTTAGGCCACAAATAATGTCCCAATAGCTATAAAAAGGTAGAGATCAGGGAATCAAAATTATCTTCTCTAACCACTATAGGATACAGTTAAAACTCAATAACAAGAGGCTGGGTTTGTGGTAGAGCACTCGACTTGCACATGTGAAGCACTGGGTTTGATCCCCAGCACCGCATAAAAATAAATGAATAAAATAAAGGTATTGTGTCCATTTACAACTAAAAAAATTTTAAAAACTCAATAACAGGGCTGGGGATATAGCTCAGTTAATACAGTGCTTGCCTCACATACCCAAGGCCCT